CATCATGTCCTCATATACTTTGTAGGTATAGCTAGCTAGATAGCTAGTTAGACATGTTTAGGGCATTGTTAACTTGTTTTTTATCACACTAGCATGCTTTAACACGCTGCTAACTTGTATTAGATCTTTGATAACATTTTTGAACATATTGCTAGCATTTAACACCTTGCTAACACATTTTAGCTTTTTGCTAGAACAAGTTTTCACACACGGGTAGAACTAATAAAACATTTTGTGCATATTGCTAGCATTTAATATATTGCTAACACATTTTAGCTTTAGCATTTTGGGTGAGCTGCTTGTTTTTTCACGTGGAGCTTAGATTAAAAACATTGGTCATGAAAAGTCTGCTTGTGTTTAGAGATTCAATTTGCACAAGTATGATTTAACATTTTTATAGCATCAAGTCAAATATGTAGGCCATAGATAGATAGATAAATAAAGAGACAGAAAGATTGATCTCGAGATGACAGGATGTTGTCATACCCAGACGGGCTGCGTGGCGTGTTTGATGGCCAGTCTGCAGAAGAAACCAGAGTCCTCCTGTCTCTTCATCTCACCCCAGTGGATCATGTCAGCGCGATAGCTCTCCTTATACTGGCCAGAACCCATCAGCTCCTCATAGTCCAGATTATGATCCTGATTATCAGAAATACAGCAACTTAATTCTAATAAAGTGATCATATAGAAAAATAATATGCCACAAAATAACCCTTTTTTTCAACTACAACCATAAACACACATTATATTATACATTTTACTGTAAAAAGTTGAACCGAGCTAGCATCTAAGAATATACACGCACTGTTTAACAAAATCTACTAGTGCTGAACAATATATCGTTTGAGCATCAATATCACAAGGTTTGTATCCGCAACAGTCACACTGCAGGATAAGATTATTTACAATATACAAATATTTATACAATGATTACCAAGTTATTTTACGTTTGACTGTTCAATTTTTATATTTGAATACTGTTAGGTCAGATAACCAAGACGCACTGTTTATTTAACCTTTATTTGTCCTCTGTCGTACTTATACTGTATATTAGGGCTGCACGATATTGGAAAAAATTGACATTGCGATATTTTTTTTCCCTGCGATATATATTGCGATGTTTAGAAATTCAGAATCGGGAGTTTTGAACTGCTCAAAAATTAAATAATCAATAATTCTATAATAATTTGGGTAATTTAAGCATTTTCATAGAATATAAAAAAGTAATAAGTAAAAACACTGAACAAACATTTTTATAGTTTCTTTTGGGTTGTTTATAAAAAATATGACTTAACCGTCAATTCAGATAAATCAAGGATCTAATATGTTGTGATATTAATACTAAATGTTGTTTTTACTGTGATAAAGGTGAGCTCATTTGGTGAATGCAAAGATAACACTTTATTATCACATTTAGGAATTAACACGAGTGACAAAATAAGTCATTTAACTTTTTATTCAACAATTACAAACTTTTTTTATTACAACAATTACAAAACAGAAGGAAATATCTTGTCACAAAATTGTAAAATGATAAAAACAGCTAAACACTAATCCCCTGAGTGGTTTAAAAAAAATAAACATGTTATAAACCAAATAAATTGAGGATAAGATAAACTTGTTCTAATAATTACCAACAATTAAATTTTCAATAAATAAAATAATATGGCAGATATATATATATTGCGCACATCGTGATTTCGATGCTGAAACGTTGTATCGTGCAGCCCTATAATATGTTTAATTTATTCTATTTTTTTACAGATGTAGGGCATAGAAAAAGACTTGATCACCCTAGTCTATCTAAATTATTGAAGTCTTTTCAAACAGAGCTTTTCAAGTCATCGGGTGAAACGATTTTTATGATATCGTTCAGTCCTAAAGTCTACTGTTGTTGTTTTCTTCTGTTTATAGACTGATAGTTGGTATTTGATTTTTCATATTGAACGCTAAAACATTTCTCTTTAACCTCATGGCACACTTTTGTAGAGATTTTCAATTTTAAGTAAGCTAACGTAAAAATGTTTACATTTTTGTAATATTTTAAGTTTAAGATGATCATTTATTGGACTGTACTAAAATAAATAAGTACACTTATTTGTGAAAATTATGATTTGTGTAAATTGTTCAGAGAATAGGGACAATATACTCAATCACTTTCCTTCAGCAGGGGTCACCACAGCGGAATGAACCACCATAGACAAAATATATTGCTGCATTTTATTCAATCATTCACATAAATAATATGTTTATAGCCAAATTAGGCACCTAAATCTGATATTTAGATTTTTTATGATAGATAGATAGATAGATAGATAGATAGATAGATAGATAGATAGATAGATAGATAGATAGATAGATAGATAGATAGATAGATAGATAGATAAATAAGCATGCTTTAGCACGTTTCTGATTTCGATATAATTATTGAACACATTGCTAGCATTTAACACACTGCTAACAAGATTTAGCTTGTTGCTTGCACAAGTTTTAACACACTGATAGCATTTTGTAACAAATTGCTAGCATGTTTAAATATATTTTAATAATATTTTAAGTTCAAGATGATCATTTATTGAACTGTACCTGAATAAATAAGTGCACTTCTTCGTAAAAATTATGATTTGTGTACATTATTCAATCACTTTCCTTCAGCAGAGGGCGCCACAGTGGAATGAAGCACCATAGACAAAATATATTGCTGCATTTTATTCAAACAGTAAAATAAATAATATGATTATTGTCAAATTGGGCGCCTAAATCTAATATTTAAATTTTTTTTATGATGGATGGATGGATGGATAGTTAGATAAGCATGCTTTAGCATGTTGCTAACTTTGATATCATGTTTGAACACATTGCTAGCATTTAACACACTGCTAACAAGTTTTAGCTTGTTGTTTGCACAAGTTTTAAATCACTGACAGCATTTTTAACAAATTGTTAGCATGTTTAAATATATTTTAATAATAAGTTCAAGATGATCATTTATTGAACTGTACTTGAATAAAAAAGTACACTTATTTGTGAAAATTAGGATTTTTGTACATCATTTAATCACTTTCCTTCAGCAGAGGGCGCCACAGCGGAATGAACCACCATAAACAAAATATATTGCTGCATTTTATTCAAACAGTAAAATAAATAATATGTTTATAGTCATTTTTTGTGTTAATTACAATTTTATTCATTGTTCTTATCACTTGTTAATTGTGGTGTACATTACCTGACAAAAGTCTTGACGCCTGTCCAAGTTTTTGGAACAACAAATAATAACTTGATCTATAGTTGATCACTTTGTATAGAAAGTGGCTTATATGAAAGGCAAAGGCGTCTAGATTATGATTATTTTAGCAAAATAAAATATGATCATGCCTTGATTTTTAATTATTTAATTAGTAAAATAAAATAAAGTTATCTGGCATAGCAAAAAACACGTTCTTGCAGGACTCCCAGAGATCATCATGATTGCTTTGGATTCATCTTCAGGACCTCCTCCATCTTCATCCCCAGACATGCTCAATAATGTTAAGTTCTGATAACTGGGCTGGTCAATCCTGGAGCACCTTGACCTTGCTTACTTTTAGGAACTTTGATGTGAAGGCTGAAGTATGAGAAGAAGCGCTATCCTGCTGAAGAATTTGCCCTCTCCTGTGGTTTTTAATGTAATGTACAGCACAAATGTCTTGATACCTCAGGTTGTTGATGTTGCCATCCACTGCAAATCTCTTGCACGCCCCTATACTGAATGTAACCCCAAACCATGATTTTTCCTTCACCGAACTTGACTGATTTCTATGACAATCTTTGATCCATGCTGTTTGCAATAGGTATTCTGCAGCATTTGTGATGATTTAAATGCAGATCAACAGATGATTCATCTAAAAAAAATAATAATAATCTACCTTCTGCCACTTCTCCAAATGATCAACTAGAAGTGAGGTATTATTTGTTGCTCTTACAACTGGGCTCGACGATAGGACTTTGTCAGGTAGTGTACTTCATTTTGCACCACGAACTTGAGTTATTTCAGTTAGGTTGCAGAAGTGTAACTTACCTTTGCGTACTGCTCTTTGAGGGGTGCAGACAGTCTGAGAATACAGCATATCTCTGCAGTCAGTCTGAAATATAAAATAAAAGCATCTTTATTAGCGAGTTTAATCTGTTCACGCGACAGGGCTATAGAGAACTAGAGAACTTACCTTTTCTGTATTAAATCTGTCACATAGTCCTTTCCGGACTTTCGCTTCCCACTGAATAACAGAATGATGCTAGGTTGTGTAGTTGCCATGGTTGTAATTACATGTGATGTGTACTTCATACTAATGTACACAACTGACACATGTCGAGGACTACAGTCTTCAATATGAATCAGGAACCGCTTTATGTCGCTTTACCGTAACTACCAAAAAAATGTAACCCAAAAATAATATAAGCGTCTTTGGTTCTTCTGTTTGCTTAACTATTTTCTTTATTTGTGTTACTTTAAAACTTTATTGGCCTATGCGATGTTTTTTCTGTCATCTGAAAGAATATCTAAGTGAAATGTGGAAGTGTGGAAACAGGATGTTTGGTGTTTTTGTGTAGCTACGGTAATCGGACGAGTGTCACGCCATCAACTTACTGGGTATGTGCTAAATATATTTACATTTCATGTAAATAAGTTACCAGAGTGTTTTTAATTTATGCAGATATTTAAATAGTATCAGAAAAAGTTCAATAAAATTATAATCTTACATTGTTTACGTGTTTATAAACACTTTTTTTCACTGACCCGGAAGTGAAACGACAAAAACGTTTGTTTCTGTATTTCATTCTTATTTGTTATCCCCCAAGTGCGGTTTATAAAGGAAATGATTTTTTAAGTGATAAAACTTGTATTTTTAAAAGTAAAATAAACCAAACATCTTAGGTGAATGCGTTATTTTTGGTTTCTGTGACCCGGAAGTTTTGAATCTGTCAGGAGTGTTTTACTTTTAGCGTCTTCTCCTTTTGTCTTTGTTTACATGTGGATAAACTGAGGATTTTTTCATTTTGGGTGAAGTTGGTGAATTCAATGTGACGCGCAGTGATGAACGGCAGCTCGAACCCGCCGCTGGATAAAGAAGAGCATGTGTTGAAGCTCGGGGACAGTTTTGAGAAGAGACCAAAATCATCCTTTCACACCATCAGATGTGAGTCCATCAAGAGAGACATAACATGCGTTATTCAAAGTATATACCAGCTAGAAATTTTCAGTTCTCTACATGCTCTGAGCATATTACCAAGCAATGTTGCAATACTGTTTTCCGCGGGTAGTTTTGTTTTAGTTCCCAGAACATTCTCTTAAAGATAGGAAAACTAGAATAATATTAACCACATTCGCACACCAACAAATCTAATACTTCTTTGCTAAAAGGAAATAGGCCAATAAACCACTTTTTTATAGCAATACGTTTATTAAAAAAAAGTTATATTATCAAATATTCATCTCAAAAAATATTTTTTGTTTTAGTAATGTAATTTATTCAGCCAGGATTTAGTGAACTCACAATATTTAGTAAAAAACATAGAAATTATTTCAGTTCTTATATATATAAAAAGGCCTAAATGTAAGGTCATTCAAATATTTTGCTCTTCTCTGACTAACACACAGGTAAGAGTGTTGGAGCAGGGTTGGAACTAAACTGTGCAGGGCTTCGGCCCTCCAGGAATTGAGTTTGACACCCCTGGACTAACACAAATACTTGCGACTGGTTCATGAGATCAGTCAGGGGTGCGTTTCCCAAACAATGACGTAACTCGCGGCTTCATCATGTGGTGCATAGTTTGGGAAAAGAACAATTGAATGTAGTGACGAGTGTTTCCCAAAACCCATAGTTTCTCTGTCACAGGTCCATCGTTTGAACCATGTTAGTAATAACGTAAAATGCCCATAATGATGCTGTAAATGGCGTAGGGTAACTACTTCTTTAGAGAAAAACCCATAATTTCTTTGTGCAAATTATATTGTTTTACACAAACACGCATTTTAAAAAAATCCAATATTAGGTTAGGTAAAAACATGCACTTGTTTTCCATAGTAACTTAAATATATGTAAATTGAACACACAGGGCATGTGATTCCTTTACAAATATTATTGAGAACATTACATATTCTATTGTAAGACATAAAACCACTTAAAAAAGCGAAAATGCATTTTAATATCATATATAAATAAATAAATAAATAAATAATGAGGCTATTTATTGAGAAATGAAATTTTATTTCATGAAATTTAATTCATTATGTATTAAAAAAATATACCACTTTAATAAAATTAATGAAAATGACAATTATTATTATTATTAATAAGTAGGATATTGTTTGCTTATTTATTTTAAATTTTTTGAAAAGTCTACTTTTACAATTTGACATGAGAACCACAACAGAAATGTGCTAATCAACAGGCCCTTGTCATATACAGTACAGATACTTAATAAATTACCCACTATAAATTAAAATCTTTAACGCATGCTGTGTTTTTTGTTTTCACATGCTTTGGAGACGTAACATAAATTCTGCTTTTAAATAATAGGTCACCTATAGCTTTAGTCATGAGCCGCGGCTGTGTTCAAAATGACATCAATGTTTTCAAAGTGCACTGCGGAGGGACACAATTGTCAATTTGAAAATTTTTAATACTGTGTTCACACCAGACGCGGAATGCGCGTCAAGCGCGAGTGATTAACATGTTAACATTCGCGCCGCGTTAACCAATCAGGAGCTTGCCTTGTGGGGGCGTGATTGTGACGTATTTCCTGTTGTAGGTGTCCCGGGGCTGTTTTTCAGCCTTCATAAACACATAAACACTGTTATTTTCTTCATAAAATCCATGTTAGCCATTTAGCAACAAAGCTACAGTCACCGGGCAGACAGAAGCCCTGCCTATCACGCGAATACGCGTCTGTTCTGAAGTGAATTTGACGTGCGAATGAAGTGGGGTTTGACGCTCGAATGAAGCGAGTAAACTCAAATGTTCACGCGGCTATTTACGTGCGAATAGCGCGATTTATCCGCGCGTTCCGCGTCTGGTGTGAACGCAGCATACTGAACTGTAAAAATAGTTTGAAAGCAAATTACACCTAAGAGGAATAAGCTTAATGCTTTTTTAGTCATTCCAATTTTAAATATTAGAATGTTTTAAATGAAAAGGGCATAGGGGGGATAGCTGGGAATAGCACACAGCCAGGAACTATGTTTCTAACTACAGCTCCAGAGGTGTAGTTGCAAGAATACAAGTTTGCAACGCAGTTTGCGAATGTTTGTTGGAACGATGGATTTGGGAAACGGCTAATCATTGAAGTATGTTTGTAACGACTTTAGTTGGCTAACAATGATTTTCGGAAACGCACCCCTGATCAGCAAGTACCGATCGAGTCATTAAATGTGATTATTAGCCAATCGAAGCACCCTACCTAAAACCAAGGCATAATTATAGAATTTAGTTTGTGAGAATGAAAACAGGCACAAAAAATTGTAGTAATGAAATGCATTGATTTTATTATTTTAGTAAAGATACATTTATTTCAATTAAATAAACAAAAAGAGAATGAAAAACTAGCTTCATTGTCGTACTGTACGTTTACAATTGTGTGCTATTCCTCCACAGATGATTTTAAACCAGCGTCTATCGATACGTCCTGTGAAGGAGATTTACAAGTGGGAAAAGGAGATGAGGTTACCATCACTTTACCACACATACCAGTAAGAGCAGCGTTCTCTTTAACATTTATATCCGCTTATGTATGACAGCCTTTCTAGAATACTCTGATTTCTCTTTAGGGCTCCACTCCACCAATGACGGTGTTTAAGGGCAACAAAAGGCCTTATCAGAAAGACTGCGTTCTCATCATCAATCACGACACTGGGGAGTTTATGTTGGAGAAGCTGAGCAGCAGCATACAGGTCAAGAAAACACGGTGAGCGGACAAATAAATCATGTAGAGCGTTATTTGACGTAAACAGTTGCAGTAGTGTTGTTATGATAACTAATACCATATCCTAACAACATGACAGACAGAAGCCGTATGATTTTGTCACATTGTGCAGCATTTGCGCTGTAATATGACCTGGAAAGGTGTGTGATGTTGTGTTTTTAGAGCTGAAGGCAGCAGTAAAATCCAGGCTCGTATCGAGCAGCAGTCAGTGAGAGCGAACCAGCTGACGACCCCACAGTTCCGCACGCCAAACAAACCAGGACTGGGCGCCAAAACCTCCCCTACCAAAGATAACCCTTCACCAGAGCCTCAGCTGGACGACATCAAACGAGGTCAGACATTCACACTCGCAATTATACCATAGTGTGCTTAATGCACTACATACATGACAAGTGTTCTTCAGCCACTGATAAACTTACCGCTGAAAGGCTTCAATTTCACAAGGTTTCTTTTACAGCATCGATAATTTAATTTAATTTAAATATAATCAGTAAATAGACTTCAGCATTTATTTTATTGTTCAAGGGTAGAACAAGGTGAAAGATTGTTTAAATGCAGGCACCGTCAGGAGCAGCAGGCGAGTGCCGAAACTCCATTGAAAATACTGTGGTAAAATGATTTTTCATATTTTAATGACATGACACTGGAATTTAATGCAGTGTTTCTTGTCAGCTGTGAGACCCACTTTATATCATATGTCAATCAGGCAGTGAACATCATTAATTTAAAACAAGTCTGATCTTACATGCTATGATTGAATTATTAATTTTTCATTGCTTATTCAAAATTAAAAGTCCCCATGCATATACCCATTAACTGTTTTCTTTAAAAGCACGTTTTCAGTTGTGTAGCAAGCAAAACTTGTCCTAATGTGCAATATTTTATGCATGTAAGGATCTCTGGTCTCACTCTCTCAGTCTTTGTTCTAAAGTGCCTGTCATTGTTCGAAAATGAACCTATGTGAATATAAAACCAACTTCACCTCAGTAAAGCAGGCTAGGCGGAATAGCGCTATTTACTTATGATTTGTTGTTAAACTCAATAAAAACCTACATTATCAATCCTGTAAAAAGCCTTATAAAACTGAAAATAGTCACGTCAATCTTTCACCAAAAGATTTCAGTGGCTGAACAACACTTCTGTGCATATAACCCATTTGTAAGGCAATACAATCTACACCATCTTTGCGTGAGTAAAAGAGTTTTAAAACAGGACATTACCTGTTGAACAGAAATACTTCAGCTTTGGTGTCGTCCTTCCTCCAGCGTGCAAAACTAACTTCAATATTGATTGAGGATTTTAAAAAGTTTTGATTCAGCGTTTGTTTTTACCGATGTCACTCTCTCTTGTGTGCATGTGAGCGCGGCGCACAATAACACGCAAGCGATGGATATGTGTCAACAGAGTTGTGCTAACGTACAAGTCTACATTTGTTGACAGACAGTTTGGGCTTCTAATCAGAATTATGGGAGATGTTGGCCCAACAAATTTTAATTGGATGAACATTTTTTAGTTTTATGCCTTACCCAGAATATAACAATACATATAAATACATATAGATCATTACTATTGGAATGTAAAGAAAGTTTCAACCAGCACAACAAAATCAGTTTTTGAAGACAATCACCTACTGCACCTTTAATGATACTAAATGTTATTAGCTTTAAAGCAAGTTCACTCAAAGAACGATAACGTTAACTTGAAGCATAACTGTAGCTAAATTTGTGTCCACACCAGTAAATGATAACAGTCTGTTTATTATAAAACTGATTTTCAGGGTTTATTCATTCATTCATTCATTCATTTTCTTGTCGGCTTAGTCCCTTTATTAATCCGGGGTCGCCACAGCGGAATGAACCGCCAACTTATCATACACTACGGACAATTTAACCAGCCCAATTCACCTGTACCGCATGTCTTTGGAGCACCCGGAGGAAACCCACGCGAACGCAGGGAGAACATGCAAACTCCACACAATAACGCCAACTGAGCCGAGGCTCGACCCAGCGACCTTCTTGCTGTGAGGAGAACGTGCTACACACTGCGCCACTACGTCGCCATTTTCAGGGTTCAATAAAACAAAAATAAATTAGAATGCCAGTGTTATTTTAGTTAAGGATGCACTGATATTAAAAATTCAGCAGATACTGTAGACTGATAACTCTTTATACTTGGCTGCTGATTGCATATTGTCCAGTTATGCATTTTCTGAGCCTAATTGCTAAAATTAAACACAAACACAGTGATTGAATTTGAAAATCGTAGCTTTTTAATTGCTTCATGACAGTCATGTTTATGACAGATTTATGACACATTTTGTTGTCTTGGTAATGTCAAGCTGTCATGCCGCAGACATAAACAGGTTTTATGTTAAGTTGTCATAACAAACAATGTCATCTTTGCATTTTAAAATGTCATTATGAATGCGACATGACTCTTAAGGCTGATGTATGCTTCTGCGTCAAGCGCATGCGTATGGTCCAGCGCAGCCTTCGCGTGGTCGCATAGCCCTCGCCATGGCTGATGTCGACACTGACCTCTCAAAAAATGTAACTACATGTCACAACGACGCATAGCGCAAGCTCTGTGATTGGTCAGCTTGGTAGCTGTGACGAATGTGGGCGGTGCTGATGGCTGCGAGCCTGATGAAGCGAGTGTTTACATGTGTCGAGTCCCATGAAGGAGCTCCAGATGGAAACTTTTGTTTTGCGTTTACTTCATGATTAAAGTTTCGCCACCGTTCCCGCTTTTAAATGAGCGAGTTTTAGCTACTTGTACATTTAGGTAGCGTTTATAAAAAACAAAACGCACACGAAGAAACTAAACACAAATGAACAAAAACCCCTACTGCCAAATAGCTTTTTGGAAGTGTTATTGCAGAGCAACACAAACAGCAACCAGATGTATAAATGCACGGCTACAAGCACGCCAGACACCATGGGTCACACTGATCACTCGACGCAGAAGTGTAAACCAGCCTTTAATGATGGTTGTTAAAAGCATGCACAAAATCTCATTGGCATTTATGACAATTTGGACTTGTACAATGTATTTTGGCTACTCCCACAAACATACCTGTGCAATAGGCAGGGCCAGACTGAATCTGCGGACGTTTTTTGCTATTTTTGCAGAGAATTTTGGTAAAAATCTGTGGATTTCTGCTGAATTATTTTGGGAGTATCCAGCAGAGAATCATAACTAAAACCTTAATATATGAAATAAAAAGTAATACATTACTGAATAAAAACTGAATGAATTCAGATTTACACATTTACTCAAGTGAATAAACTGAATTAATGATGGGCTAAAAATCTGCAGAAATCTGCGGAATTCTGCGCGTGCAGATTCCGTGTGGGCCTAGCAATAGGGTATATGCTGAAGCGTGCCAATAGGACTTTTAATTTGCCAGTAACCTGGGTTTACCGCTTCCGGTGAACTGTATGCCAAAGCAAAATCAAATGCGTTTATGGTCTGTTTTCTTTAAAAATCAGCGATCTCCATTGGCTGAGTGATATCCAATATAAAGCGGGTCTCAGATTGCACAAGAAGCACTGCATTAAATTACATTTTCACTGCCATGTCTTTATAATAAGAGCATTCACTTTACTCCAGTATATTCAATGGAGCTTCTGCATTATCCTGCCGATTCTGTTGGGCACGTGCGAGTATACGGCTTTTTGTCTCATTTTACGTTTGAGCAACTAAATGAATGCCAAAGTCTGTTTAACTGATTGTATTTTAATTACATTACAACATTGATGCTGTAAAAGGAACCGTATAAAATGGAAAAAAAAACTCACAATACAGGTCACCAGACGTTTAATAGTATGGGAGCAACACTAGCTCGGCATATACCCTGTATAAGACAGTTTTTTTTGGTCCAGGGTCATATATTGTGCGTCTGCAGTGTTGATGTAGCTTTTTCTCTGACTCTGCTGAATTGAACCAGTGTTTTTGATCTGTGTGTGTCAGAGCTGCGGGCCGAGGTGGACATGATCGAGCAGATGAGCAGCAGTGGCAGCAGCAGCTCTTCAGAATCTGCCAGTTGTTCAGGCAGCGGGAATGACGACAGTTCCTGCAGCGATGGAGAACAGGAAACACATCTCTCGCCCAGCAGGAACAACATGGCCAACGGAATGAACAAATCACAAGGCAACAACCAGCTGATGAACACACTCCGTAAGAAAACATATATATTACCCACACGAGACAAGCATACAGTGTAATATAACTATGAATGTTGTGCAAATAGGATATAACAATAATTAATAGGTTTTGATCCCAACTGTGCCACTTTGGTGACTGTCGCTTTAAATTCAAATGAGATTGTGCTCTTTTTACAAGAGGGCAGAGCTACAAATTAGGGATGTGTAATATGGCAAACCTTAGAAACACGATTTTCTAGAACAATATTAAGATTTTGATTTTAATAACAATTTTGACACACACAGATGTTTTACACCAGGGGTCACCAATCCAGTTCCTGGAGGGCCGGTGCCCTGCAGGGTTTAGCTCCAACTTCACCTCAACACACCTGCCTGGGTGTTTCAAGTATACCTACTAAGACCTTGGCTGTTTCTCAATCGGTTCTTCAGCGGCCTTGCAACCTCGTGTTCTTGTGTAACGTCATTATCAGCTGCCAAAGTTCAGTTCCAATACTCAAGACCGCAAGTACGGAGGACGCGTGAAACTTCCTGGATGTGATCTTGATATCGAGGACGCACTGATACAGACTTGAGCACCGAACTCGCTCTGGAAGTCCCAGAAGTCATTGCGACTGGAGGTGGGAAGCGCAGCATTTTATTTAGATTTATTATTAATGTTCAGAGATATCACTTATTTACCGCAGGAGTTTCCCTAAATGAAATGGTGAAAGTAAACATCACCATGAACATCTTAATAAAGGAATAAACACATTAAGGGTGTTTGTTTGCTGAAATTCGTATTAAAATCTGTTTTATTTATATTGTGCAGAGTATATTTATAATGTTTTTATGCAAAATATATATTTTGAAGAGGGGGAAAACAATAAATCGTTATATGAATGCTGTAATGTTTAAATAATTTCCATTTAAAACGCGTGAAGGTCATGTGACCATCAGGAAGAACGCAGCATCCCATTTCTTAAAGGACGCGTTCTCTGCCCTCGCGGTCTCCTGAGTTCGTTCTTCCGAAGACACCTGGCAAGACCGCTCTCCACAAGAACGCAAGTCCATTCTCTGCGTTCTTGGAATTGAGAAACAGCCCTTGATTAACTTTTAAATATTGGACCAAACTTTGTGATCTCATAACTTTGCGCCAGACTGTCTTACAGACTTAAGGTTGTGATAATTTAACTCACTAGCAATCTGCCAATCACTGATGACCTTTCAACTTACTAGCAACTAGCACACCCTAGCAACTGTCCCATAGTTTTGTGTTTGATTAGAGTTGGAGCTAAAATCTGCAGAACACCAGCCCTCCAGGAATAAGTTTGGTGACCCCTGTTTTACAGTATGAATCTAAAACATATTTTCAAAGGAAAACAATTACATCTATATCAAAGACCTGTAACATGTCTCTAAAACAGACACACAAAAAAAATCAAGTAGTAAATGTGTAACAAATTGTCTCCATAAATTGCGTGTGCGTGCATGTCGTCAGACTCAAGTAAGGATCCAATGTTCTGCTTGAGCACATATCAGAAGTAGTCACGTGTACTTTTCTATGTGTCTACAGATTTTTTTTCTATGTGTCTACAGATTTTTTTGTCATGCATAGATCATAGACCTCTTTGTGATGCTGCCATGAAACATGCTGTTCACATATCTATACTTTTGCGCTCATAAGTTTGTTATTTCCAATGGAATATTGGGAGTGTAGGGATAGTTTAACCCAAAGAATGACCAGTCTGGTAGATGAAGAAGAGCCGGAGTCAGATATTTAAATAAATAAATCAAGTTTACTGAAGATAGTTTGCAGTTTCATTCGCAGAAGCCAGCATCAACACTCGCAATAAGTTCCTAGGCCGCTCTGCTTACAATCACCAATCAATAACAATTATACTCTCCCATAACGTCATTAACTGCGGCATACATATAGGTGTTCTAACCTGATTGGTTAAAACACAGACTAGAAAAATTTCCACGTGGGGTTCGTGCGTACAATTCTGAACATTATCTAAACATAAACGTCAGACATACCTTAGACTGATTAGAGCTGACTCCAGACCTGTGAAATGGATCAACAATCAAATAAAACACACACTTAAAGTATAATCTGTTTCTTATCCAAGGCTGAGTGTACTGTCAGCCGTCTTTATCAAAACTTGTTTAAAACCGGTATAATACATTCAGGCAGTTATAATTCCTTACTACACAAAGTCTATCTTGAATAAAAGTAGAATCACTTTAAAAGAATTAACAGTAAAAATAGCAAAATCACTTTAGACATTTTAGACAATATTAACTACTAGAAATAACAATACAAACAGTTGCTTCCAATCCTCAGCCCTCAGTTCCACTCAAGGTCTCCATGACCTCTGACCTAGATTGGTGGCTTCTGAAAATAGTTATAAAGAGACAGGCAAATGCACTAACATTCTTATATTAAGCAATGTGTTAACTTATTCATTAATTAAAATCAATTCACGGTTAAATACTGAGAAACAGGATGATGAAAAGGATAAACGTTGGTCCATGATGAGACGGATTGGAAAGCAGAAATCCGAATCCTTCAGGAGCGACACGCGCATGTGAAAACCTCTAAACTTTTTAAAATGCCGCTCTGCGAGTCGCATGACAAGAACTGACCAATCATTTTCATACTTTGTACAGAATATACACATTTCAGTAGTCTAATTACTTCTAATCCAATTTTGTGATCTATGCTAAGCTAAGATAAGCTAAGCTAAGCTAAGCATGCTGTCACCAGAACCGGAGATTGACTGAACGGATTAAAATATGGTAAAAATTATCAAAACTATATTTTTTTTCCGAGCAAGATGCTAATGGTCTTATCCGATTCAATGATCTATGCCAAGCTAAAGTGCTCCCACCAGAACCAGAGATTGGCTGAATGGATTCCAAAACAGTTAAACTCAAACATTTAACCCTAATGGTGTTGTAAATTGTGCCTATTTCCAAAAAAAAGTAGAGTGTTCCTTTATATGTAAAACCCACACCTGCTAGTGTTTCATTTGTTACAATGGTCTTGTTTTTGTTCCCCCCTCAGGAAATGATCTCCAGCTGAGTGAATCTGGCAGTGACAGCGACATCGACTGATCTCCAGTGATGTTCAGCTCTTGAAAACATAGATGGTGTTCCCAGCGTTATGTGTTTCATAGCTAATACCAGTCCTTCTGCAGTGCTTTTTATCCTGAGCTTTTAACGTGGAGATATCATAGGAGGTTTTGAAGAATGTAATTTTATTAGATTTTATTTTTATTGCAAAGGGAGTTTTTGGAACTGATATATACGGTTGTGTGATGCGAGATTATTGTACCTGTGCTTGTTCAGTATTTTTATGAAGCTTGTATATGCACCTTTCCTCCATGTTACGTGTGACACACACCGACTTGTTGCATGATCATTATTCTGACTGTTTTTGGCATAGTCTGTAAAGTTGAGCCAAGGTGTTATCTATAGATTGATCACAGCACATGATTTAGGCTTAATTTGTTTATTGTTTGTATGACAGAAGGGTCAAAACTCTTAAGGTATAACATTATCTGTCTTAAACAGTATTTTAAAATCTGTCTGCACTGCTGGTTTAACCAAAATTTGTTTTAATGCAGCTGACCCCAGTATAATTGTTGTATATAGCATCTGTACTGTAACAATAAAGTAAAAAAACAAGCCATTTCTGTGGGTCTGAGTGATCATTTTTATCATGATATTTCATTTCAGTTCAATGACTTTACACTTTATTATGGTGGCTTGAGAAAGCCAGCATACTGTTATACTACCCAGACTGTTCATACTCAAACCACCAAACTAACTCCAAACCTCCAATTACACTGAATTAAGTGGCTATATCTTTTCCAACTAATCCAACTAACAGTTTTCAGAAAAAAAAAAACCTGAAAATTCGGAAAAGTCCCATTGGCTTAATATTGGACCAAACTTTGTGATCTCATAACTTTGCGCCAGACTGTCTTACAGACTTAACGTTGTGCTCATTTAACTCACTAGCAATCTGCCAATCACTGATGACCTTTCAATTTACTAGCCACACCCTAGCAACTGTCCCATAGACTTCACATTCGACATACTAATAACAAACCAATTCATACTAGCAATATACTGATCCATATTAGAAACATACTAATGACATACCAATCCATACTGGAAACATTTCAACAAACTTACTTATTATACTAGCAACATGCTAATTCATACTAAATTCATGCCAACAACATGCTAGGTTATGCTAAAAACATGCTAGCAACATGCTAATTCATGCTAGATCCAGTTATAGTTTCCTATAGATTGATCACAGCACATGATTTAGGCTTAATTTGTTTGGTGTTTGTATGACAGAAGGGTCAAAACTCTTAAAGTATAACATCAAAATGACTTTCCTTCACTTTTGGTCACATGGAATGCACATAGAAGGCACTATCAGAGCATGTCTCATTTAATCTGAGCTGTATAAAATGCTTTTAATGCGCACACCTAAACCCCAATGACATCACTAGCACCATTGAGTGCATTGCATCTATGAGATTACATGTCTAAGACTGCATGTCTGCATTTCTGCCCTGCTTTTATCCATTCGTCAATCTTCCTTCATTTTGTTAGCAACACCTATCTATGACCCAATCAGTTCCCATTGGATGAAATTATGCTCTGTCCTACATTTCTGTCTAATTTTAGGACAGTTTAAATTCATGTACATCATCGTATGGAAAAGCAGGACAATCTTAACTTCTGTTTCATGGCGATTTTGAAGATAGATTAGTTAAAACTGTAATCAACTGGGAATCCATAAGGTCAGGCTACACCAGAAACAAAAGTTTTTTTTTTCTTATGAAAAAAAAATAGAAGGTCAATTTAATGTATAAAAGCCCTTCGTAGCTATATACATTTCTGTGGTTTTATTTATGAGTACAAGGGAATCATCAGATAGACATTTTGGGAAACTTGCTTCAGTGAAGATCTAAAATATATTTTACAGTCTATGATCTAATCATAGACCGTTTTAAAAGCTGTCTACATGTTGTTTTAAGATTTATTTGTATTTTAAGTACGGTCCATTCTATAAATGCTTTGTATATTGTACAAATATATTTGTATAAATGATAAAGTACGTAACTCACTGTTTCGGTTGGAAGAACATCAACATACCTATATAAAAGTCTGAGCAACTTCTATTTCACACAGACTTTAATGGCAATTTAACTCACCATTTACTCATGCACAAGTGGTTCCAGATATTTTGGAGGTCTGGAACCTTTATGGAGTTTTATAAAAAAAAAAATTTCACTTGTTGAATACAAAAACATATTTTAAAGATAGCTGAAAACGTGTAGCCATTGACTTCTATAGTATGAAAAAAATTATTATGGTTACAGGTTTCCAACATTTTTTAAAATAATTTATTTTGTGTTTAACAGAAAGTAAAAGAAGAAGTAAAATGTGAGTAAACGATGACAGAATATTAATGTTAAGGTGAACTATTTGTTTAATAACATACATTTCATTTTTGGTGAACTAACGCTTACAATTAAAAAGTTACTATAGTGCTCACAACAATTATATTCTATTAAAGAAAAGTTTTTTTTTAATGTGTGTGAGATATTATGTAATGTTTGCTTTTTCTATTTGACCAGCAATTTAAGATCGTACAAAGCAAAATCTCCACGCTGGACTCTTATTTTGATATCGCGCTGCCATGTTCCACAGTTCTGGCTTCAGCGTTGCTGTCAGTACCATGACAACAGCGGGTCGAGTGTGAGGAGCTGAGATGTCTTGAGCTACCTGGTTTTACCACACAGTACTAGAGAAAACATCACTGCATTTACTACAGGTACAACAGATTTACGTATATATTTCACCAGTGCACATAAGAGCAGCTTCACGGTCAACGATACAACTGTGAAACTATGAAAGTGTGAACCGCGAGCGCAGCAAGCTGAGTAACGTTAGCAGATTTACCACAACAATACTCTTTCTTTCATTTACAGGGAATAAGATAACTGTTATGTCTCATATAGTTACCTGCTTTCTAGCTTTGAAAATATTTAATGGCTTACGTTTTTAACACAATCGATAGACTGTTAACAGGTTGGTCTGGATGCTTTCTGTGTAACAACGTTGAAATCCAAATTTTAGATTTAACCTGAAATTCAGAACGCTTCTTAATATAAATTAAGAGAAACTAGTTTACACACTGAATGTTATAATTATTGGTTAATTTATATTCTTTCGTTCTGTTTAATTCATACTTAATAGTTCAGAAGTTTAGTTAACAGACTAGTAAATACACACACACTGCCTCCATAATAGAACCCACACATATTCTCTATAAGTTATATGTACAGTGCACATTTTATTTGTCCATGTTCCTGGACCAGTCTACTTCCTTGCATTTCCTCTGTTTCTCTCTGGTGTGTGGATTAGCTGGGTTAAGCAGTCAGCAGTTAGTTAGTAAAGCTGCTTGGATTGCAGCCAATGAAATCTGCAGTCACGTGACACTTCTGTCAGGTTATACTGTCAGCTGCATGTCTGACAGTCTTGGTGGTTCAGTCAGCATCAAAAACCATGTGCTCAGAAGATGCCAACTAAGACAAAGAGTGATTAGGGGAGAGTCTTTTTGTTCTTACATTGTCATTGAAAAACAAAATGATGAACAGAATTGTGTCAGGCTGTGTATTCTATGGTGGATGAGAGAGCTCAAATGAGCTGCAAGTCCATATGAAATGCAACGCCATCGATGTGATCCAAGTCCTGTGAAGGGAGGATGCCAAACGTAGAGGACTTTTAGAAGTCCCCATAACACTTGTCCAGGCCATATCCTGAGCAGATGCAGTGGTGGTCATGGAGGAGGAGTGGAGAACATGAAACTGATTCCTGAAAGACCCCATTGACAGACGAGTCTGCGCTGATCTCGTGGGCCAGCCTGAATACCTGACGGTGTCGTACTCACACCTGCAGCTTCTTCACGATGGACGTCAAGCTTTCCCCAGCCCCCGGCACCTAAACTGCAGCTCTGCACAAGAAGTTTGGCCAGAGGAGAAATGGTCATGCCCCACTGAGCCTGGTTTCTCCCAAGTTTTTTTTTCCTTCACTTTTGTCAATTGGTGAAGTTTGTTCCTCACCGCTGTCACCACTGGCGTGCTTGGTTTGGGACTTGTGGAGCTGCGCATCGATGGATTTGCTCTTCAGTGTTTGGAAACTAAACCAGACTGAACTAAACTTTAACTCTGGAAACTCGACTGACAGTTTCAATTTTAATTTGATAAATTATGTTAAGCTCCTTTGCTACAATCTACATTGTAAAATAAAGATAAATTGAAGAATTTAATTTGCAATCATAATTTACAATGTTTAATTTGCTAGCGCTCATTGTCTCTCTTTAGGTGAATAATTAATACCTTTTCATTTGTGGTAATCTACAGTGAAAGTCTGACCGTTTCTCTTTCGTGTTTGCAGTTGTGGCTTTTCTTAATTGACTTCAGTTGTGACAGATTCAGCTGCAATTTTCTTAATCATGCCACTCTTACCGTTAGGGAATGATGCAAAAGAAAACCCTGCCAAATATTCTTAATATACTCAATATTCTGTTTCTGAATATTCTGTTCTGAATATTCTCAATATTCTGTTACTGAATTCAGTTCATCAAAATACTGAAATAAAAGTCTGTTCATTCGTTTGTCTGTTTGTTCATTCGTCTGTCCGTCCATCTGTTCATTTGCCTGTTTGTCTGTTCGTTCATTCGTCTGTTCGTTCGTTCGTCCATCCGTTTGTTTGTTCTTTTGTCTGTCCGTCCGTTCGTTCGTACAGTCATTCATTAATTCATTTGTACAGTCAATTACTCATTTATTCTTTTTTACAGTCATTCATATCGTCATTTATTTGTTCGTACATTAGTTAATGGATTTGTAGGTTTGGACATTCGTTCATTTTTTTCATCCACATCATTAAACAGCCATCAATTTAACAATCTGTAAAAATAATGATGATGCTGCAATCTAAAATGTGAGCTGCAGACATTGTTTAAGTAGTTTTTATTAGAGTAGGAGTCAGATTTGCTATACATGAAGATCTAATAAGAAGCTTAAGCACATAATGATTTCGTAAACATAGATCTTATAGATCTTCTAAAAGCAAATTTGATGCAAAGTTTTCAACATTGCAAAAGCAGCCAACCCCCTTCCCTTCACATTTAGATTTTTATTTATTTAGTCAAAGTTAAACAACAAAGAAAAATTTTAATTTCACTTGACTAAATTATTATTATTATTATTATTATTTTAGCTTTAAAAACACTTTTTTAATTTATACAATGGGAGCTATGATGCATCATTTTCACATTTGGGTATTCAATGTATGGAGCTTAATCAAAAACATTTTAAAGCTGCTTAAAAAGCACTGTTTGATTAGTATTTGTAAAAAAAAAATTTGTTGAACTTATTTGTGCAATAACTGTATTATTTATCAGAGTACTATGTTACACTGGTCAAACCTATGCAAACTAGGGATGACCCGATCTATCTGCCGATAATCACATTTAATGACTCGATCGGTAATCGCCAATCTGGCCGATCTAATGAACCGATCGCAGGGATTTGATTAGTTAATAATATAACTTCTTGTAATATACTTATTGCAATAAACAATAGTTTATAGGCCTATTTTCTTTTCGTAAAGTAGTGGTGGATTTAAAGGTGTGCATTTTAACGTTTTATGCATCAAATATGTGCTCCAAACTTTTTCTTGATTGATTATTCTTGATTTCTTTTATCATTTGCAATGTTTCCAAATTGTTTTCTAAATTCCAATTTTTTATTTGTGTGATATTGTTTTTATTGTGCTTCTGGCCATGACATATCCACACTAAATGGTTAAAAGGGATTATATGCAGCTTCCTTCATTTATTCTCTTAGGTAAGGCGAGATCTCCACTTAAGTGTCATAGTTAGAGGGAAAATGTACTAAATGCATTATAAAGCTTGAAGCATTAGAATCAGTACTCCGTATCGGCCGATCGCCAAGACGAAGAATTGGTATTCGGTATCGGCTGCGAAAATCCTGATTGGAGCGTCCTTAATGTAAACGATGAATAGTTACGTTTGTGGAAAAAATTTTGCCAATATTTAGGACTTAACATTTCTTATCATTGAGTGAGCCTTTTGTCAAGTTTATTTAAAAGCAGTGATGAAGGAGTCTCTAATTTGTCCAATTACAGTGCATAAATGAAACACTAGTGTAATGTTTGTTTTACAGGATGTCTTTGTTTAAGGCCCGTGATTGGTGGGCGTCGGTGCTGGGCGAGGGCGAGGAGTTTGACCAGGGATGTCTGTGTGTTGGGGATGTGGATAACAGCGGTACTGGATATGGTGAGTATCCTTTATTTTGAGTTTCCTGTATTTTTGCATCAGTGTTTCAACAGATTTTAAGCATGGATGGATGGATGGATGGATGAATTGATGGATGGAGAGAGAGAGAGAGAGACCTTCGAAGTTCTTTTAATTACAAAAACAATTATTCATTCATAACATTACACCATCCAGATAAAAACAAACAATCGGAAACAATAAAAAAAATACAAAGAAACTGCAACAACATCCACAAGATGCATATACAACATGCATAAAAAAGTCAATGTTACGCATACAAACGCATTATCACTCTCTCCTCTTTAAAACATCATATTAGACCCTCCTTCTTCACTGGGTTGACATAGTATGTTTTCAAATCCCCACAAAGAAAAAAAAAGATTCCTAATCATTTACTAATTCATAATACTTACTGTATACTCCATCATTAAACTACTTTTAACCAAAGCCTTAAACATTTGTAAGGGATCAGTGCCTCCACTTAGCATTGCTTTATTCTTTCTTGTTGAGAGAGAGAGAGAGATAGATAGATAGATAGATAGATAGATAGATAGATAGATAGATAGATAGATAGATAGATAGATAGATAGAAAGAAAGAAAGAAAGAAAGATAGATAGATAGATAGACAGATAGATAGACAGATCTTATGTAGATAGAGCTCTTGTGTAATACATCAGGTATTAATAGTAACATTTTACTCTAACATTAGATGGTGATTGTTACAGATGAAATTGACTGATGGCAGTTTTTTTTTTAATTTCTGCTGCCTAGTATTTTATTTTTGTATGTGATAAAAGTGTTTTTATGTGATTATTTTTTATATAAAAAGTGATTGCAATTCAGTTTGTGTGCATTGCCAGAATATATAAAAATACATTCCTTTTTTTATAACAGTATTGATCGCTGTATATATATGTGAAATAGTTTGCCTGTTACTGCAATATTTGCTCCTTCTCTAGCCCGTTTTAAAACTTTTTTCAAATCTTATTTGTTCTTGCTGGCTTTGATTAAGATCAGTTTTTATTAAGGTCAATTTTATACATTTACTTTCTCTTTTCTGATGGGACACTTGTTTCCTTTATTGATTTTATGTATTGTGTTTTTCGTGTAAAGAATTTGGCACTCTCTGCTGGAACTCTGCTGCTTTTAAATGTGCTATAGAATAATTTGTATAGGAGATGATGAGTAATTAGTTCTGTATTAGTTATTAGTGTCAGAGATGTTGTCTGTTTTCTTCGATTTGTTTTGTCTTTTGGATTTGTCATTTATTTCTTCTATTGTATCAACTATTATTATTTAATCATATTCATTTATTTATTTTTAATTATAATGTTTTATACATGTAATTAGCATTTTTATTACTTTCAAAATGTCATTATATTCTATATTGTATGCATTATTAAAATGCTTTGGCAATACTGAAACAAAATGTCATGCCAGTAAAGCAAATTGAACTACAACTCGAAAAAAAGTGTGATGTTTTCCGTTTGTAAATAGTCAAGATGACAGAAAATTTAGATTTTTTTTTTGCATTATGTGATTCAGTGTGATGCGATGTTAAATTACATTCTGTTCTTTACCTAACACTGTTTACATTCTCTCTCTCGCTCTGTCTCTTTCACACTCTGACTCTCTGTAATCCAGATAAGATTATAGTGGGCAGTTTTATGGGGATGTTACGCATCTTCTCACCACACCCTGCTAAACCGGATGAGCTGACGGAAGCTGACACCCAACTGCTGGAGGTCCAGATGCCTGACCCCATCATTCAAGTGGAGCTGGGCAAGTTTGTCTCGTAAGTCTCACATTTGCTGTGTTTCAACCATTACAAATGTTGATGGTTTGGTGAAATGCATCAAAAAAGGTAGTCTTTAATATTGCATGTCCCTCTAAAAACACTGAAAACTTACATTTCAAATTAAAATTTTAAAAGCACACTCCCCCTGATAGTCAATGTATAATTGGCACAGTGTTGACAGGTAATACCAAAATGTTTCAGTTAGCCATGTTGAACCAAAAATTAAAAAAATAAAACTAAGCGAACATTAAGAATTATTGTATTAGAAGACATTTTAGGTTGCTAATGTTTCGGTGCATTGCAAGGATTTGTGTTGAGACAGCTTTTGAAATAACTCCCACTTTAACTAGTTAAATAGTGCACAGATTAAGATTAGCCCTCATTTTTTAAATGAATTATGAGTCCAGTGCTTTCCACGGGTTTAAAATGTACTTGCGGTGGTAGCCGAATTGAAACACATTTACCCAAATTACATAAATAGTTAACTATATGTGACAAACAAAACATAATGAATTTTTTAACAATAATTTTATTTATTATACACTCTTATACTTTGCTTCTTTTCAATGGGTTTATGTAAAAAAAAAAAAGACCTCCACAATTTCTCTTACTTTTATGCTCTTCAGGAGCCATGTGCACCCACTGACAGGTAAAATCTGCTTCTCTCTCCTTTAAGTTCAAAGGAAACTTCAATGCCAAAGCATTTTAGATATGTATATAAAATAGCCTATGTAATATATTAACATCATCAAATTAATAAAATAATCAGCACATGAGAATTGAATGACAGAAAAATTAATAATCTATATAATGGTAATCTTCAGTCAAAGTCTGACCATTTGTTTCCGTGTGGTGGCTTTTCTTATTTGACCTCAGTTTGACAGATTCAGCTACAATATTCTTAATCATGCCATTCTTACCGTTAGTTTGCTATGAGGGAATGATGCGCAAAAAGAAAGCGCCGCCAAATATTCTCAATATAGTCAATATTCAGTTTCAGACGGAAATACATCAACATACACAAATAAAAGTCTCAGCAAAGTCCGGTTCACACTGACTATATGAATACACATGCAAATCGAATCAAAATGAGAAAACATGTTTATCAATATGACAACACGTTTAACTTTGGTACCTGTTGGTACAGAAATTTTAAAAAAAATCCATTTCACGCTAACATTGAACCGCATCTTAAGCAGCGCTGATTGGCCATTGTGTTTACATGCTCAACAGATATGACCATGATATGACTATGATAGATACACTGGAGTGGTTCAAAGCAGCGTCAATGAGCTTACCTGTCTATGAGCTAACATATGAGCAATCCGCTGATGGATCGACTGATTGACACTGCTTTAAAGCCATTCAGCGTCCATATATTTGTGTTTGCACTTGGTAAACAGAAGTGAAGAGTTCATTTTGCTTCTATTTGAATAGTTATTATCATAATCACAAGATTAAAACCTGTAGATTATTTAAATAAGGCACATGCATTGATTTAACCATTACTAATGGTGTACATATAGTTTGCAGCCAAATTTAGACTAGTCATTTCTTCCTCTTCGAGTTGTTTAGATAAAAAAAAGAATTATTTTATGTTTCTTTGGCTCTCTACGAAGCCAAGCGAAAGTAGGTTTAAGTAAAAAGGTGATGCAAAAAATGCATTCAAGCTTTATAAAGCAAAAGCTTAAATCCCAGAAATTTTACCTCATCATTCATTTTCTTGTCGGCTTAGTCCTTTTAATAATCCGGGGTCGCCACAGCGGAATGAACCACCAACTTGTCCAGCAAGTTTTTACGCAGTGGATGCCCTTCCAGCCGCAACCCATCTCTGGGAAACATCCACACATACATTCACACACACGCTCACACACTACAGACAATTTAGCCTACTCAATTCACCTGTACCACATGTGTTTGGACTGTGGGGGAAACCAGAGCACCCGGAGGAAACCCACGCGAAGGCAGGGAGAACATGCAAACTCCACACATAAACGCCAACTGAGCCGAGGTTCGAACCAGCGACCCAGCGACCTTCTTGCTGTGAGGCGACAGCACTACCTACTGCGCCACTGCCTCGCCCATTTTAACCAGATTTACGGACAAATTTTTTAAGTCCCAAAAAGGTGCATCTCCGGGGGTCTGCAGACTATCTATTTGAGTGCTGACAGGTCTCACGGACACAGAACCAAACGGGTAATAGATCCTGGATGTTTGGTTATTGTGCGGACACAAAAAAATTTAAAGGATGTTAATAACAATAAAAAAAAAACATAATAACTGTAAATGTGTTACTAAATATACTTTATATAATATACCTGGGCGGCCTACCCAAGTAAATTCTATGTGTGAGCTGTCTATGTGGGAGCTGTGACTTGATTTCAGAAGACTCTAGCTTCAGATGACATCAACTGATCAATATGGCTTCCACCGTCTCTGCAACATTTTGGCTTCACCTTTCTACAATGAAAGATAATGTGCTGATTAAAAAAAAATAAATAAACTGTTTTTTATTTAGATTCTAGAACACTGAAATTGTCTTGTATATTTCCAGCTTTTGTGATTTGCCCTGCTCTTCAGCCTGATATTTTGGTTTGTTGGATATATCTAGATATGAATACCGAAATTGATTATATGTTTTGTCTCACCAGCATATGAGCTCTGTTGAGCAAGTTTTTAAACACAACTGACTGACCATTGTGCTCATGCGCTCAACACTAATTACTGTGGTTGGCTCTTATGATCATTGTTAAACTCTCTTCACCGTTTGCTTACACAGACACACTGACACTGGAGCATTTGAAAGCTGATTCTATCAGAGCTTCCGTCTATGAGCACATATATGATTGTTGCACTTACAGATAAGCTGATAGACCCTGCTTTTAAATGTTCATATGTCTGTGTGTCTGTGTAATTGCTTGGTGGAGGAGCGTGAAGCCATGCTCGTTGGAGCCAGTCACACTGAAATCTACTTGTGGCACTGTTGTGCGCACCCTGAATTCTAAAATACAGAATACAAGCGGGAAATGTTGATAGCATTAAATTCTAAAATCTGTACTTTTGACATCCCTTTATAGCAAAAGACTTATTGCAGGCTCATTGTATGTAAACATCATTATTAACAGTGCACAGTATTGACTGGCAATTGTCTTACTGTTTCCATCCATTTATGACCACAGATAATACCACATTAACAGTATAAAAAATAAAGTTCTTTTGAATTGCGTTGCACTTACTCCCATTTCTCTTTTTTGTCATATATTACAGTTGTTCAGAGTCACTGCATCTGGCAGTTCTTCACCCCAGGAAGCTGTCTGTCTATGCTGTATCAGGTTGGTTCTTCACAGATACACAACTGCATATCACTTATTCCAGAATTGCGTACATTTTGAGCATTTTTAAAAATTATTTTCCTTACTATAACTGGAAGGATATACAAGAAATGTCTCATTTTTAAATTAAATGAATAATTTATTAATGTAAAAGAAAACAATAACTTAAACAGAACCTATTGTGAAAAAATCACTTTGATAAGGTGTTTAACCTCTTAAGGGCCAAGGTGTTTTTTTTACATGCATTTTTTATTTCTCTTTGCTATTTGGGCTTATTGGAACATAGTTAGAATAAAAATTTAAGTATCATCTTTTTATATGATGTACTTTTAGACAAAAAATGATGTCTATATATGTGGACTCGTGGTCCGAATTTATATTAAAAACTTTTTCCCCAATTTACATATATAGCATATAATTTTTTTTGTGCATGCTTTGGCTATCAGAGAGTAAAATCGTTTTTTTTTTTTTTTTTTTTCATTTTGGAACGTTTAAAATAGGGTTTGGGACATTTCATATGCTGCAAAACAGTTGCAGGATGACACTGTATGTCTGTAACAAAATATAAAACATTCAAAGTATTTTAAATAGCCACTTAAAAGCTAAAATGTGCTCTCTACGTATGTGGACACTTAAGCCCTATGAGGTTAAACACAGTTGTGTGGCAACAGTGTGAATATAACCAGCCTCTAATGGTAAACATTTATTAATTCTATTGTTTTTTATATGGAGGTTTCCCAGTGATGGGTTGTGGCTGGAAGGGCATCCTCTGCGTAAAACATATGGTTGGTTGCAAATGTTTATTCAAACAAGTACACACAAAAAAGATTACACTTAATTAGTTTATCAAATTAAAGCTGAAAGTATGAAAGTATGCGCAGTCCAAAGACCTGCGGTACAGGTGAATTGGGTAGGCTAAATTGTCCGTAGTGTGTGTGTGTGTGTATGTTTCCCAGAGATGGTTTGCGGCTGGTAGGGCATCTGCTTCGTAAAAAAACATGCTGAATGAGTTGGCGGTTCATTCCACTGTGGCGACCCCGGATTAATAAAGGGACTAAGGCGACAAGAAAATCAATGAATGAATGAATGAGTATGCGTTAGGAGGCAGAGGTCAAAAATAGCTATAGTGGGAGCCTTTAAGTTAATATTTTCAAGGGGAAATATCCCTATACACCTCAAAAATGCTTTTCTTACTTTTTACTTTTTTATCCCCTTTCTAGTCCAAATGTCTAAACATTCTTAATCAAGAAGCATTTTCTAGACAAGCAAAAAAAAAAATCTTTTTTAATAAATAATATGCTAAAATTAAATGAGTTTTTCATTAAAACAATATAATCTTGTTTTTCTTTTTGACATGACATTATTTTGCTTACTCCACAAAATGCAAGTAAGAAAAGCCTTTTTTCGTAGTGTAAATACACACACAAGGACTATTTTTAGATATAATTTGTGTTACTAATTAAAACGTCTCAGTAAAGTTTGTTTTTGAAAAACAAAAAACAAAATCACCTATATGCATTGGCTACTTCGAACTTTTTATGAAATAGTTTAATCATAGACCTCTTTAATTACAGTATGTTTTCCATATGTATGGTTTTCTCAGGCACCGCCGGTAATGTTGAACATGGTGACCAGTATCAGCTGCGACTGGTTTATGAACACAACCTGCAGAGAACAGCTTGCAACATGACGTATGGCCCATTCGGTGGTGTTACAGGTAATCGATCATATCAGTATTCCATACATAATATTATTATAGCATTCTAAAATACTCAGTGGGCTACAGTTTTAAAGGCATATACTGTTCTTCTCCTCAGTATTTAAGTTCAATAATAACCGAAAGGTATCTTTATTGGTAACATTTATTAAGTTTGGTAAGGTTAACATAATAACTAACATTGTCAAACAAGGAGAGGTACATTACAATATGTATTTATCTTTTTTAATATTAGTTAATAAAAACGCAACTGTTCATTGTAAATTCATATCACCATTGGATTTTTTGTGAATTTTGGAAGTCTTTGCTTAAGATTAATTAACAACTTGGAAGTATTGTGTTTTTTATTAGAAGTTCATGTTAACTAATATAATTAACACATTTTTTTCGCACACTTTCATAGACACTTTAAAGATATAGTTCACACAAAATTGACAAATCTAAAGATCTGATATTAATAGCTGCTTATCCAACCATAAATACTTTAAAAGTCAAATTCATTCTGCACCATAAAATTAAATTAGGAATTAAAAATATCGCCCAGTTTAGTATCACTGAACATTGCCTGTGTGTTCTTGGCCTTTAGGTGTGTAGAAAGGCGATTAAGGCTGACTATAAATAAAATAGTAGCACATGTTTGTTTAATAGGATTAGTAGTACTCTTTTAAGTCCAGTTTCTTTATTAACCACACGAGGGCAGCACAGTCTTTTATTTAAGTGTTTGTGAGCTGCCATTGCTTCAATACACACTGGATCTGCACATGGTGAAGCCCAGACACCACAATGGCAGAGGATGCAGCAGAATTAAATGTAAACCTAAACAATAGGTTTTAAGTAGGATGCAGCAATACAATTATGTTATAACTGCACGTCAAATGTAAATTAAACAATTAAATGTTTTTTTTTGTTACTTGAAATGAAATAAAACATGTATTTTTTTAATTTAGCTGCAAAGGATTAAAAAAAGTTGAAAGTTAAAACTAAAATAAACTGAAACGGAAACTATAATTTCAGAATATTGCACAGCTATACTCTAGCCAATTAGATTCGAGAACCAGACAGAACTGTTGTATAAATGTGTGTGTGTGTGTGTGCGTGTGTTCTGTTTATTTCCCAAATGATGTTTAACAGAGCAAGGAAATTTTCACAGTTTGTTTGATAATATTTTTTCTGCTGGAGAAAGTCTTATTTGTTTTATTTTGGCTAGAATAAAAGCAGTTTTTAATTTTTAAACACCATTTTAAGGTCAATATTCATAGCCCCCTTAAGCTATTTTTTTTTCGATAGTCTACAGAACAAACCATCGTTATACAATAACTTGCCTTATTACCCTAACCTAACCTAATTAACCCAGTTAAGCCTTTAAATGTCACTTTAAGCTATATAGAAGGGTCTTGAAAAATATCTAGTTAAATATTATTTACTTTCATCATGGCAAAGATAAAATAAATCAGTTATTAGAGATGAGTTATTAAATATTATATTAAGTTTAGAAATGTGTTGAAACCATCTTATATATACACACACACACACACACACACACACACACACACACACACACACACACACACACACACACACTTAAATTGTACACACACTTAAATTGTCAAAACAATCTTTTATTTTGGATGCCACCAATCATGATTCATTTTTGCCCAGCACTAATAAATAGTTATGTTATTATTCTATAATTGTTGATGAAATATGAGCACTCATTTTTCTTCTGCTGTGCAGGTCATCATTTCATCTGTATCCAGTCCATGGATGGGATGCTCATGTTTTTTGAGCAGGAGAGTTATGCTTTTGGTCGCTTCCTGCCTGGTTTCCTGCTGCCCGGCCCATTGAGTTACTGCATTCGCACAGACTCCTTCATCACCGTCTCCTCCACACGGCAGGTGGAGTGTTACAGGTGAGACCAACTTTTCCTTTAGTTTTCTGTATAGTCACTGGCTCTGTTCTTCCACACATCTGGCTGTCCTGCAAGATTACTGGATTTCTTTTGGAATTTTAGGATGCTTTCATGCCTGTAGATAAATTGTTTTGTTCCAAAACAGGGATTCAAATTGGTACAGTGTTGGTTTTTGTTGTTAGTGCGATTCGCTTTGACACTGCAAAGTTTCTAATGGACCAAAATTGTTAAAATACAAGCGAGCAAACTCTACTCACACTGGTCAGAGTTTGGTTTATTTTCCAGGATTCCTCTCAGCTGTGATGCGTCACTTTTTTAATTTATGATGAAAAGAAATAAGACATTATAAGCGAATAGGTGCGCTTTCATTTTGAATGGTGACATCCACAGACATCATCGCTAATTATAAATCAGAGATAAGACTTTCTCATGCATAGCCTCATTTCAATTGTCAAGGGTTGTAAAATAAATGTATCTATTTACGATAAATTATGTTTGTTTATGAGAGCACTGCATCACAGCTGAGCTAATAAATATTCATGACCATTGCAAATAAGGTCAATAAGGACCTTCTCATTCTAGGGGTAAGTAATAGATAGGCATATAAAAATATTTCTGGAGAATGTTTGAACTTACCTTAGCCACATACCTACTTACAGTTGAAGTCAGAATTATTAGCCCCGCTGAATTATTTGCGCCCCTGTTTATTTTTTTCCCTAATTTCTGTTTAATGGAGGGAGGACTGTTTCAGCACATTTCTAAACATAATAGTTTTTAAAAACGTATTTTTAATAACTGATTTATTTTATCTTTGCCATGATGACAGTAAATAATATTTTACTGGATATTTTCAAGACACTTCTATGAGCTTAAAGTGACATTTAAAGGCTTAACTAGGTTAATTAGGTAAACTACGCAGGTTAAGGTAATTAGGCAAGTTATTGTAAAATGATGGTTTGTTCTGTAGATTATTGAAAAAAAAAAAGGGGCTTATAATTTTGTCCCAAAAATGTTTTTAAAAAAATTAATAACTGTTTTTATTCTAGCCGAAGTAAAACAAATAAGACCTTTTCCAGAAGAAAAAATATTATCAGACATACAGTGAAAATTTCCTTGCTCTGTTAAAAATCATTTGGAAAATATTTAAAAAAGAAGAAAAAAATCAAAAGGGGGCTAATAATTCTGACTTCAACTGTACCTACTAAAATCATTCACTACATGGTTGAGTCAATAATCATAGTTTTTATTCATAGATATATACATTACATGTCGCCTACCCTGTTGTTGTCTATTGGAAGGAATGCGTCAATGTAGCCGCCATTTTGGAACAGGGTAGCGCTCCTTTGAAATGAACGCGGGACCAAGGAACAGTGGAGGACTGTGGCCATCCAAAGCCAGAGATATACACATATACACATATATCTATGATCGGGAGTTTTCCTGGATGTTAGTATGCAAATTTTTTTTTTTAATACGAAAATTATCATTTTACATCACTTTTCCGCATGGATGGATCAGTGATGGCACTGGCATTCCTGACAAAAAGCTTGTGTTTGTGTGTATGGAAATGTACTATTCACCCTCCCTGTTAAATTTGATCTAATCATGTCCTGAAACACACCTCCTCCTAACCTGCTTTCTCTTCTCATACTGACGGAGGGAACGATTCGTTTGTGAATGAATCTCCGTTATGAGCAACTCCTTCACTATCCGACAATAATACAAGTTTCTGGCACAGTAGCATCTCGTTGTCATATTTCTTTTGCATTGTTTGCTGATTTTATTCAACAAAACTAGCATAAGCCGAGTGTTTAGTGCTACTTTGCCTTATGGTGAATGCATAAGAGACTGTGTTATCATAAATAACATTACCTGTTAAGCACAAAAGTTCATAACATACAAAAACGTGAAAAACTAAACCTTACCTATGTAATGTTCTGCCTTTGTGGTTTGTTTTCTTTATTTGCTCGTTACTACACCCGTAGACAGTGCTAAAGTCCCGCATCTTCACGTAATAACACTGTCTTGACTAGTGCGGTTGAATGACATTTGTCCTGGGAACACTGTACCAATGTGGCGGCGCTATAGACGCATGCTCAGGGTACCTATGCAATATCTAGTGTATATATCTATGGTTTTTATTGCGTCATTTGGGACACAACCACCGTACAGTATCCACTGGATGCACACTTCAAAATCTCACCCTAATTAGTTAGTTGGTCATTCAAATGCTTTGCTATTGTATAATGAATACTATTCATATGTATTACTTACCTCCTATACAGTTTTTCCACGCAATTTGCAAGTAAACGTATTTCTATGGAGGTTGTTGTTTTGGATCAACCCTTTTAGCACATCAGTGTTGTGGTTTAGTGAATTTTGTAATGCTTTATATTGTGTTCGATTGGTAAAACTGACATTCTCTGCTCTTTTAAATTCAGATACGAGACGCTGGCTGTGGCCACAGATGCAGACACCAAACAAGACTCGAATCAGCAAAGCAAGAGCTCAGGAAAAAGACTGACTGTGCGTTATTTGCCAGTATAATGTGCATTTACATTATGAAGATTTGGCTTGAGGTTTGACATGACCGAGTGTGTGTTTGTCCCCAGGCTGACTGGACTCTTGTGTTAGGAGAAGAGGCTCTAGATATCTGTGTTCCCAACACGTCTCCGGCGATGTCCTCCATCTTTGTGCTGGGGGAGAGAAATCTGTTCTGTCTCAAGGACAACGGCCAGATCCGCTTCATGAAGAAACTGGAGTTCAACCCCAGCTGTTTTCTTCCTTATGCATCAGGTGACTGATCACAGCAGTCAATCATATTTCAATTTCTACTGTGCATACTAACATTATGTTTGCAGTAGAGGTGTGAACCTATACTGGTCTCACGGTTCGGTTCGGTTACGATTATCATGCCTTCGATTCGGTTCAATTCGATATTTCGGTGCATCACGGTGCATTGACGATGCTTTCCATATACAGTGTTATATTTTAGAGGAGAGGCTATAACAAGCTGTCTGTATAAACACACAGACACAGCACCACACTGTCTCTCATTCAAACACAAACATAGACAGCACCAAAGAAACAAACACACACACACACACACGCACACACACACTTAAGCCCTCGCAACAGGGAGAGCTTGCGAAGAGCGGAGCAGAAAAACGAAAAAAAAAACCGAAAAAAATAAGCACTTTTCCGACGGTCCCTTGCTGAGAGCTCCTCTCAGCGCGAGCTATCCCAGCTAAACACATATTGCGAGGGCTTAAACGGAGCAGTGCTCGTAGTGTGGAGCGAAAAAAAAAGAAAGACAGCTGTGAAACATAACCAGCTTTGTCTTTTTGTAGGAAACACACTTTAGATCTTTTTAGGGTAAAAGGTTTTTGAGTTATTGCCGTCTATCACTGAATGATGGGTGTTGTAAATACTCTCGCTCGCCTCCCTCGCGACAGAGAGCATAGGAGATAAATGACGTCAGTACATAATAACCGGTTATGATTATTACTGAACCGATACCGAATTGTCCGCGTCTGCATCGCGGTGCACCAAAGAAACATTTAATTTTGACACCCCTAGTTTGCAGTTCAAGTCAAAGTTATTAGCTCTCCTGTGAATTATTATTTTTTCTTTTTCAAATATTTCCCAAATGATGTTTCAAGAGTTCACGCTTAGATATTTCTTGACAACTGTTAGCAGGTTTGGCATGCTGTCCCGGGAGAGAACCCTGAGCTCGGAGATAGTTGAGCCCAGGGCTCCCGCCAAGTCCATAGAGCATGTGAGGGAAGTACGAGATCAGGTGGTTCTCGAGAGCTCCCTCTTTTGTAAAGGAGGAGAAAGGGGTGGATGGGGGGTTTCTTCGGAAAACGAAGATAAGGTAATAAATCTAGCTAGGCTAGTTATAGTGATTTACGATAGATCTGATTGGCTAACTAATGAGTGTAGATGAGAGGCCAGCTGCTGTCAATTATATCACATGCTCCTCTCGAAATTAGTTTGAAAAACTTCACTTAACAGAGCAAGGTAGTTTCTATAATATTTTTTTCCTCTGGAGAAAGTCTCATTTGCTTTATTTCGGCTAGAAGGAAAACAGTTGTACTTTTTTAAAACCATTTTAAGGTCAATATTATTAGCCCTCTTGCTATACTTTTTTTTTTTAGTTTTTCTACAGAACAAACCTTTATCAGAATTGACTGGTGTTTTGAAGTAGATGTGTGAATGGTCTTTTCCGGAAAAATTTGGAACATCCTTGCATGTGTGAACAGCACTTTTTTAAGAGTGTGCAGGTTAAGTCGTTCTGGAAATTTTCCGGATATTTAGTAGGGATGTAATTGATCATGGTTGATTCATGATGCCTTTGGAATCCAGCCCGAGGGTTCGGAACACACGTGGCCTGTGGGTTAATAAATTTTTTTTTTACTTTTCATATCGCATGTATGAAAGCATTTCGGCTTTCCTATAAAATAAAAAAATGACGGAAGAAGTTGCGGTAGGTTATTCGGGATGTGGTGGGTTTCTTAGGTTATTAAAGGTGTTTTATGTCACTCTTGTTTAGCATGCATTAATGCATTCAGTGTAAGTTGCACGATTAATCAGTAAACGATCAGGATCTCAACACCCACACGACATAAATTATAAATGACGGTGATTTGCATATGTTTATTAATCCTTCGAAACGCTGCATTCAATTCCGAAAACACAAAATCAAGAAAGAGATTGAGTCTTTAGATTTTATGTTAGTTATGAAGATACAAGCAGCCAAATGACACAGAATTACTGGGATAACAGTTTATTGTTTAGATAAAACTACGGATGTAGTAAAGATTAAAATCACCATCAGATGCATTTAACAATGCTCAAAAATGAAAGTTGTAGGCAGCAACTACATTATTTAACCAATAGGGGGCGACAACCAGCCATCAAAAATATGCCACTGAATAATTCTTCAAAAATGATCATCTAGCAATGAAACATGACGCTTTATGAGTGAATAGCTGAATGAGGCTAAAAATAAATATGGGTGTAACAAATTATTATGTTAGATTTCTACATTTAGTGTTATCAGCAACAGTAGCAGTAACTGCATTTTTCACAGCACTAAATATTTTACCATTTATTTTTTATTCAGCTGATTATTCATTAATTTTATTTTTATAAAATGACAGCTTCTAAGTTCTGTTTGTTAAAAGCAAAAGTTTCTTGCAGTGCGGTTTTTGTAATAAATGGAAAGCAAATTACATTTGTCACCTACTTTTTTGCTGATCAAAAAAAATGCTCTGATTCGTGACTAAAAAACTGTATTGTGATCTGAACTGTGAGATTTGTGTTTTATGAACTTTTAGTCATGACAGTTTTCAATGGAAAGATTTTGTTAACATGTTTCTAAACACAAAAATTTTAATAGCTCATTTCTAATAACTGATGTATTTAATATTTGCTATGATGACAGCACATAATATTTTTTCTAGATAGCTTAAAGTACAATTAAGGCTTAGCTAGGTTAAGTAGCAAGTAAGCTAAGCAAGTTCAGGTAATTAGGCAAGTCATTCTATAACAGTGGTTTCTATAGACAATGGGAAAAATATTGCTTAAGGGGGCAAATAATATTGACCTTAACCTCTTAGGGCTTAGTGGACACATATGTAGACAGCACATTTTAGCTCTTTAAAATACTTTGAATGTTTAATATTTTGTTACAGACATACAGTGTCATCCTGCAGCTGTTTTGCAGCATATGAAATGTCCTAAACACTATTTTTAACTGTCCGAAATGGAAAAAACAATTTGTTTTTACTTTCTGATAGTCAAAACATGTTAAAAAATATGTGTGTATCTGTTATTGATGCATTAAAAACAGTCAGGAAAAAGTGTTTTATGTAAATTCGGACCACGACTGCACATGTATGGACATCATTTTTCTCTAAAAGTACATCATATTAAAAGATGATACTAAGGTTTTTATTCTAATTAGCTTCTAATAGCAAAGAGAAATAAAAAAATACATGTAAAAAAAACACCTTGGGCCTTAAAATAAAAAATAATTAAAAACTGTTTTTAGTCTAGCCGAAATAAAACAAATAAGACTTTCTCAAGTAGAAAAAATATAGGAAATACTGTAAAAAAATCCTTGCTCTGTTAAACATACTCTGAGAAATATTTTTAAAAAGAAAAAGAAAATCACAGGAGGGCTAATAATGCTGACTTTTGCACGCGAACACACCCTACATCTTGTTTCTTGAGTTAAATCACTATTGTCTTTGTCTGCCTCCCAGACTGAGAGGGATAATATTGGGTGTTTGGCCGCAGAACCGGAGAAATGTGTGTTTTGGTGAGAAGGGTGTTGGATTATTTTAAAAGGAAAGTGAGAGATGGACGTCTTCTGGTGGTCTGGAAGTGGCTGCAGTCTATCATTGAACTACTTCATTGACTCTCTGTGTGAGGCTCGGTGACCACAGACCATCTGAACACACTTTCTCCTTCATACTCAGCTGTCGTCTTTCCGGCTTTATTTCCTATTCCCAGTGTCCGAGGGTTCCACCAACGTCCTGATGTGTAACCATAACAACATGCTGCTGGTGTACCAGGATGTGACGCTGAAGTGGGCCGCGCAGCTGTCCTGTGTGCCTGTGGCCGTGCGTGTCGCTAACTTTCTGTAAGTGATCACTGCCAAAATCAATCTGTCCTGTTTGTCTCCTTAACTTCCATTCCTCACTGCCAAAAAAAAGCTTTTCTTACTAAGAGTTTGTGTCTCGATTCTAGTGTAAATATATATAAATGTTTTAAAACCAAGAAGCATTTTCTAGAAAGTAAGAATGTTGTTTTGATTTTAAAGCTTTTTATTTTTACTTAAAACAAGCTAAATAATCTGCCAGTGTGTTAAACCAAAAACAAGATTATTTAGCCTACCCATATCAGTGGTGTAAAGTAACAACTATTTAAATGACTGTAATTGAGTAGCTTTTCTAAGAAATTGTACTTTATTAAGTAGTTTTCAAAATGTGTACTTTTACTTTCCCTTGAGTACATTTTTAGTGTGCTATTGGTACTTTTACTCCAATACTTTCCTTTAACCTGCAGTCATTACTTTATTTTTCTTGTCTATGGGGATTAGGTAAATCAGTCCTGCGATTCCTGTCCAATCAAATCATACATAAAAGGTAAATTGTCTCAATTGGTTGTAAGGGTCTCCAACAACAGTCTAATATGCATACAAGGTCTAAAAACACTTTCATGGTCTTATAATCTGCATTTATTTTTACCTAATTATCCCAGCGACTCCCGTATGAATCGTCCAGTGATTCATTTGTACCCAAACCCCTCCTTAGCGCGAAGCTAATCTGCGCTGATTGGACCAATGACAGTCTGTTGCGATTGGTCGACTGCCTTCAGTCAGCGAGTGAAATGCCCAACAGCTAATCAGCAATATAAAAAGTAATCACAGTTCATACACGCTCGATAGTGTAGGCGTGGATTTTAGCTGCCAGTGGGTCTATGTAAATACAGACGACTAACTATTTTATTGAGCAAAAACTCCAAAAACTGTAGAGGAGATCTCCTAGCTTGTCTCACTCTGCTCTTTTCACAGACACACACACAAACACACATATTGTCCTCGTCCTTGCGCGTGCGCGCACACACACAAAAACACACACACACCTCCGGACGACAACGCGCGCACACACACACACATACCTCTGGACGACAGCGCACACACACACGCACGCACACACTACCCTCGTCCACAGAGCTCCGTAAACAAAGCAGCACGCGTCGCGTTTTTAACGTGGCTTTGCACGCGATAAGAGAATATAGCGAGTTAACCTGATACAGTACACGCGGTTACAAGTAACAAATCACAACTAAATACATTTGCAAGCTAGAGTAAATGAGGCAACAACTTTAATCGCACGTACTTACACTTGAGAAATGGAAGAAACCCATCCTGACGTTCATCAGTAAGTTACTCTTTACTGATCCTTCCTTTAACAAACGCCGATGAAGTATTCTTTGTAGCATGTAGTTTCCTGAAGTTTCCAGAAGTTTCCAACTGCTTGGCTATAATGCTGAGGTTTCATCTTTGGGTAGAGACTCGATAATATCCATCAGCAGTGTGACTTCAATCGACCGGCGTGTTTGTGTATGTGTGTTTGTGGGTGTGTGTGTGTGTGTCTGGGTTTCTATGTCAGAGGGCGGGGCCGCAGGTTTAAAATCTCCCAGGTTTGCGCGTGCACGTGAATAACTTGGTTTTCATGGCGAAACACCTAATGACTCGGTATCAAGGCGACTCGTTTGAAGCACTATAGCTGCGTCCCAAATCGCATACTTATGCACTATTCTACGCCATTTTGTAGTATAAATAGTGTAAGTAGTGTGTTCACACTGAAAACTCTAAAAATAATAAGTGCACTTTAATTACCCGGATGATGCACTCATTCAGCCGCTAAAATGAAGTGTGTAATGATGGACACTTCACGCACTCAACGACCGCATGTTTGCTTACGTAGCGGAAGGGGCGGAGCTATCGGACGCACATGTTGAATAACTTTATTTATTTTGGATGGTGAAAGCAAAATTACATAGTGCATGAGTGCATAGTGTATAGTGTGCCATTTGGGACGCAGCTTATGAGTCGACTCTTTTTTAGATGAATCAACTGTTTTAAACACTGTACTCTTACAGATCTAAGCCTTAGCTGGATACTTCACTTCACTTAGAGCTGTGTTACACACTACATGGAGGGGAATTTTCAAAAACCCATAATATGGGCTCTTTAAGACATGGGTGATTTATAATTGCAGCAAACTGTTTGGAAGCATTAAAAGTGTCCAAGAAGATGTCCAAAATCTTTACATGCTTTGACCCAGAGACTATTTAGATGCATGTCACTGATGAGTAGATAACGGATCTTTACTGTATGATGACCGAAATAGCCTTAAACACCCAGCAGGCACAGGATGTTAACATGACGTCAGGTTGACGTTGTACCCCAACGTTGTGGAGACGTTGCGCTCCTCCTCATACTTCAGCCTCCACATCAAAGTTCCTGAAAGCAAAGAAGGTCAAGGTGCTCCAGGATTGGCCAGCCCAGTCACCAGATATGAATATTATTGAGCATGTCTGGGAAAGATGAAATAGGAGGTATTTAAGATGAACCCAAAGAATCTTGATGAACTCCGGGAGTCCTGCATGAACGCTTTTTTGGCCGTTCCAGATGACTTTATTAAGTTATTTGAGTCATTGCAGAGATGTATGGATGCAGTCCTCCAAGCTCATGGGAGTCATACACAATATTAAATATTTTCGCACTGCAGCATGACTTTATATTTTATACTGGATATGATTTCTGTTAAGTAACAACACTTTTGTCTAAGCAAAGTCAGACCTTACTGTCTTAATTAAATAATTAAAAATCAAGGCATGATCATATTTTATTTTGGTAAAATAAGCGTAATCTAGAAGCCTTTGCCTTTCATATAGACCACTTCTGATACCAATTGATCAATTAGAAGTCAAGTTATTATTTGCTGTTCCTAAAACTTGGTTAGGCGACAGGACTTTTGTCAGGTAGTGTATTTGTACTATAGATGTCTAAATGATGTAAAAGAACTAAACTAGTTTTTTTAAATGCTGTAGTTTAAAGAGATAGTTCACTCGTAGATTACAATTATCTCACAATTTAGTCACAATCAAGTGGTTCTAAACGTTTGTGTTTTGTTTTTATCTTCTTTTGAAGAAATGATGAAGAACGCTTGAAAAAGCAGCCACTGGCATCCATTGTAGGAACAAAAAATACTATGGAATCAATGGCTGTTTTTTTTTCACCTCACCAGTATTTAGTACATCTCATTTCTCTATGACAAAAAAAAGAAACTCAAACAGGTTTGGAAAAAGTGAAGGATGACTAAATGATGTCAGATTTCTCATTTTTGGGTGAACTATCCCTCTAACTGGCTTGTTCTGTTGCTCCCAATGGACTGTTTTGAGCACCGCTCTGGACTACAGGAAGAGATAATAGATGCTGATTGTAATCATTGAAAAACTAAGGAAGTATAAAAGACGATAAGCCTCGATATCATGTAGTCATAGTGAGATTAGGCGAACATATTCATCCAATCAAGAAGAAAAAAAAAAGGATTTAAAAAATAATTAAAAACAACAGCGAGGAATTGATTCCAGGGCTGATTTCCAGAACCAAGAATCAAAATCTGGGTTGATTCCAAAAAGTCTCAGAATCGAAATGTTCTTTAGGATGCGTATACTATGTCTCTTTGATGCATTCAGTGTTTGTGGGACTGTTTGCCTGGAGAGGTTCTCATATGCCGAGGTAAACGATATGTCTGTGGAGCGAGTGTTTAACTGCACTGGTCTCTCCGGCCATCCTACACGGGTCACTCGCTCTTCATTGTCCGTCCCGTCTCTCTTCTGCTGGCCTCCCATTAAAAGAGCGTCTGTCAGCACCACCTAAATGAGCTGCTCTGCTTGTCTCCGTTCACATCTCCAGCGTGCACACACATAACCGCTCACATCTTCAGTTTCTCAAACATTGAACATGAATGATAAAGTACTAAGAACAAACCATAGAATCATGCATAGTCAAGATAGCACAACAACTGACTTATCAAGGGAAGGGAAAACACTGTTTTACTGTTCTATTATCTTTTAGTGTTGATCTTTTGGGTCAAATCCAATCAGACATGATCAAATGAATGGTAATTTGGTGCAAATTCATCTGACACTAAGTAGAATAATCTGATATAACAATATCCTGTCTACCCTTTTACAAGTCTTGTCGTCAATTCTAGTTGTAAGAACAACAAATAATAACTTCTAGACTAGTTGATCATTTGGAAAAGTGGCAGAAGGTAGATTTTTCCGATGAATCATCTGTTGAATACCATCACAAATACTGAAAAGACCTATTGGAACCTGCACAGACCCAAGATTCTCACAGAAATCAGTCAAGTTTTGTGAAAGAAAAATCATAGTTTAGGGTTCCATTCAGTATTGGGGTGTGCGAGAGATCTGCAGAGTGGACGGCAACATCAACAGCCTGAGGTATCAAGACGTTTGTGCTGCTCATTACATTACAAACCACAGGAGAGGGCAAATTATTCAGCAAGATAGCGCTCCTCCTCATACTTCAGCCTTCACATCAAAGCTCCTGAAAGCAAAGAAGGTCAATATGCTCCAGTATTGGCCAGCCCAGTCACTAGATATAAACATTATTGAGATAACTAGCGATAACATATAAATGCACATTAATGGAATCTTTTTTTTTAAATTGGTTTGAAAATATCAATGAAAATTGGAATTCTTAGTTCACAGCTAATTTAAAAGCAGCAGTTTAAACAACCAAAATCTTCCTGAGAATTATAGAGATGTTCTGCTTTCTTAACAGTCCAACTTTCTTTTCTTTTTATTTATTCTCTGTGCATCAGTTTATGTGTTTTGTGTTTTTAGGGAACTGAAGGGTTTGGTGGTGACTCTGAGCTCTGATGGGCATCTCCAGTGCTCTTACATGGGCACTGACCCCTCCTTCTTTACTGCACCCAAAGTGGACGCTAGAGAGGTCAACTATGATGAGATCGACACAGAGATGAAAATGCTGCAAAGGGTTATTCGCGAGGCTACCAAAACACAAGGTATGATGCACAGAATCTTAAATAAATGCACACCAGTTTTGCACAGTCTAACTAAAGTCTGGCTTACTCTGTGATATATTTATTTATTTATTTATTTATTTATTTATTTATTTATTTATTTATTTATTTATTTATTTATTTTTATTTATTTATTTATTTATTTATTTGTTTGTTTGATTGTTTGCTTATTTATTTATTTATTTATTTATTTATATTTTTAAATAATATTTAACAGTTATAGCATGTCAGACAGCATAAATATGATTCCCATGCCAAACTGTAAGATCTCAGTAGTTATAATGTCAGACTGAAAGACAAACAAGATGCGCCAAACACTGAAACGGAAGAAAACTCACCAGGAGTTTGACGTCATCTATCAGTAATAATTGACACCTCAATGAATGTGTGGCAGTGTACAGTGGTCACATGGGACAGGTTGTTCAAGGATGTGAATACTTTTTAATATATATCGTAATTACTTACTAGCCACTTTATTTAGTTACACCAGTTCAGCTTCTCATTGATATGAACATTTAAGCAGCCAATCACATGGCAAAGACAGACAAGATGATCTACTAAAGTTTAAATTAAGAATCATAATGGGGAAAGCCACAGATCTACTGGATTTTCCTGACTTTCCTGTGAGTGGTCCTAAAAATAGTAATATATATATTCATGTAACAACAGCAAACCGAGGCTATAGTTCACACACACTCGCCAAAATAGGACAATAAATGAAAAAAATTAATATTAGCTTGTCTGATTATCAGTTTTTGATGAAGTATTTTAAATGGTAGGGTTGGAATCTAGGGTAAACGGTGTAAATGCAGATCTCAATTCAATCAAGTACTTTTGGGATGTGATGAAATGGGAGATTTGCATCATGGATGTGCATATATCAGATCTGTAGGAATTGCAAAGGACTTTGCACACTGAAGTCCGAAATTTTCAAATGCATTTTTTTGTATTCATATGCGAAAAATTTGTCAAGTAAACAAACCTTGCTCTCTGAGTCCAATGCGTATTAATTAATCTATTACGAAAAAACCCAAAACATTTCAGAATCAGTTCAAGCAGTGATACTTTGTTCTCCTGTCTCTTCTTTAAAGTACAAAAAGAAAGAGGAATAGGCTGCATATTGTGTTCATCCAATACTGCATAGAGAGGAAAGAGAGATCTGCCTTATGATTATCCCAAAATGCAAAGTTTATTTCATGAAATCAGTGCAATTTTGATATATTGCTTGTGATACTTCACACATTCAAATACGTGAACAAATCCTAAACAGAGACTGGTAGTACCTACAGACAATATAATAGATGCAACCCATGCTCGTTCTGAAAACGTAGTCCCGTGGACGTTTCTGGAGGCCACGAAATAAGTCCTGGGAGGTACATATGGCTGCGTTTAATTATTTTTAAGCGAACGCTACGGGGCGGTATGACGCCATTCCCTTTCGCGCTTACCGGTTGACCGCTTACCTCCCTGTGGAGGGCTTTCCCGCCACAATCAGTTTGTCCAGTCAGCTCATCGTGTACGTCAGCAGACTTCAGATGCAGAGAGGAGGAGTTGACCACAGCGACTGGGTTCGAGTCCGGGGAAGCGTGGTTTCAGAAATCAGTTAAGACAAAAACAGAATCCCCCAAAAAAAAGTGAACGAGTTCATAACAGGGTGAGAATGTGGTGAAATCTGAAAATGTGGTAAGACAAGGGCTTTTCTTTTTCTGTACGGCTTTTCTAAATTGTTGGTTGGGTTTTAGTGAAGTGTGTGGGCTGGCGAGTCAATCGGTAAAATTGGTTGGGTTTAGGGAAGGAGGAGGGTGGCTGAATCAGCCGATTGGCCGGTCGCGCAGTCAATCATTCAGTCAGTCAGACAGCGGCCTCTCGTGGATTCGCGAAAACAAAAACTGCAAAAAAGTACCTCTCGAGACATATTTCGCAGTCTCCAGAAACGTCCACGGGACTACGTTTTCAGAATGAGCCTGGGTTGAATAGATGGCGGTCGCATTGTTTTGTTAAGAAATGGACTGAATTGATGGATGAAAGTTTTGGAGGCAGTGTGTCAATACTATTGACACAACGTGAGGTCAAATTTGTATTTTAACGTGCGAAAATGACTGTGAAAATATCGGCTTAAGTGTGAATAACCTTATTGCTATCATGTCATTGTGTCAGTGTGGACATATCATGTTAGTGTGGTCCAAAATCTCTAAAAAATTTTCCAGTTCTCGGTTGAATTTATGTGGAATTAAAAAGAGTGTTCCCTCAAAACTGAAATTTTGGTCATCGTTTCTCACTCTTCACTTTCCACAAACCTGTTTGAATTTCTTTTCTTCTGTTGAACACAAATTAAGTTATTTTGAAAATTGATAGAAACCTGTAACCATTGACTTCCATGTTATTTGTTTTTCCTACCATGGAAGTCAACAGCTACAGTTTCTACAACCTTCTTCAAAATATCTTATTTAGTATTCAACAGAAGAAAGAAACTCATAAAGGTTTGGAACCACTTAAGGATATGTAACCTAATAACTACCTAATAAAGTGAAGGTGAGTATTAGTCTCTGCAAATTTAAGACTTTTTTTTTTAAAATAATAGACATATATTGCAGAGAATATAGCATTAAAATCAAGTACCATCTGAATCGGAGAGTTATTTGCACAATTATTTTTTGTATGTGTTTGTGTGTGGCCCATTTTCAGACATTCTCCCGAGGGCAGAGACCGAAGAAGAGCTCAGACTGACCGCCGTAGTCTCATCTAGCCTGGACGAAGTCTCGGTATGGATGCTAATACACACATTTATTTAATCTATTTGGGAACATACCATATAATTCGGTCTTCTTTATATAAAGCTAATTATAACTACTGCCGCCTACAGAAAACCCTATTTTACCACTAATTTAAGCCTCTCTTTATTTATGAATCATTTTTAACCACATTCACACAGGTTTAGCTTTCTCAAAGAGGCCACCAAGTAGACTTGTAGTGTTCTAGTTTTACATAAAGTAGTCCCTAAAAGAAAATTTGAAACAGAAAATGTATTTGCTTTCTATATAAATAATTTTTCCACAGCAGCACGTCACTAAATGTCCCTAAAAGAGGTTTTATTTAGCTCAGTCAGTCACAGCCTTTTAAAATGGAAATCTTGATGATTCAGATGAATCAGACTAAATGATTGAATCTCCACAGAAAAGCAGATGTATTGCCAAGACTATTTTTTTTTTCTTTGGTTCATCATTAAGCCATGGATCAGCATGTTTTACCATCTATGTGTGCCTGGGCTACCTTGCTGAATGGCTTAACACTAATGAACTAGACTATAGCCACTTTCACACAGTGATACCGGTAAATATCCGGAAAATTTACAGAACGACTTTACCGGTATATTCAAAAAGCGCTGTTCACACAGGCGAGGACGTTACGGAAAAGATCAATCACAAACCCATTCCAAAATACCGGTAAATTCTGACATCATTAACCAGAAATGAGCTCTAAATGGCTGCGCTTGTATTGGTAGAGATTTGACTACATTACAAACTCTGTGGATGGATGAGTATTGTGATGAAACTTTGATGAAAACATATAGAGGAACACTTTCGGATGTTGAGATATATAATATGTGTGCGTGCTGGGGCTCACAAGCTGTTTCACGGGCACATGCGACGCGACGCTCAAAGCAACTGAAGGAAAAGAGCTTGAAGGTAAACAAACAACTGCTTATCATAAGCTTCTTATCGATAATTATTTACACAGTTGGGATTAAGAAGGAACATATAAACATTATCTGACTAACATCTAGCAGCTAAATGTGTCTGCAAAAATATTTAATTTTCCATTAAAATAATTTTAATTTTCATAAACCGCTCGGACGTGAATGCATCTGAGTGTTCTAATTGGCTAAAGAAACGTCTCACGTCAGCACGTTCTAGACGTGCACGCGCTCTTTCCAGCAATCTTTACTCTGCGTTCACACAGTGCAGCATTCAGGCAAATTACCGGTAATGTTACATCTTCTCTTTCCGAAAAATAGCCAGAACGAATTTACCGGTATTTTCAAAAAGGGGTCTGTTCGCACATACAGACCTTTCCAGAAAATTGCCGGTTATTTTCTGGAAAGGTCTGTATGTGTGAAAGGGGCTTATGTGTGCTTTGGCTTTATTGCTGACTAGCTTAACACTAATGTGCTAGACTATGTGTGCCTGGGCTACACTGCCAACTGGCTTAACACTGTAGTCCATTAGACTTTGTGTGCCTAGGCTACCTTGCCAACTGACTTGAACTAGTCTATGTGTGCTTTGGGTACATTGCTAACTAGCTTAACACTAATGTACTAGACTATGTGTGCCTGGGCTACACTACCAACTGGCTTAACACTATAATCTACTTGACTATGTGTGCCTGGGCTACTTTGCAGAATGACTTAACACTAATGAACTAGACTATGTGTGCCTTGGCTACATTTCTGATTAGCTAACAATAATGTACTAGACTATGTGTTTCTGGGCTACGCTGTCAACTGGCTTGGAACTATGGTGTACTAAACTATGTGTGCCTGGGCTACCTTGCAGACTGGCTTAACAATAATCTACTAGACTATGTGTACCTGGGCTACCTCGGAGCCAGCTTCAAGCGGCCAGTCGATGAATTGCATTGTTTAAACAGCCAAGTATGACATCTGTGACATATGCCCATTGAGCACAAAGGTATCAGCTGCTTCTGAACATGAAAGTTTTGTAAATGGAGCTAGGATTGAAAGGTATGTCTGCTTAAATAAAAACAACGAGCAGACCAATCGTACATAGATTAAAAAGTAAAGGTAATTTTGCATTGTACTGAGGTGTTAAGATGTTGAAGATCAAGCTTTCAATCTCTTATTAGACAAGCTAATAAATAATAATTTGCCAATGCTGATAATTGAAAAATGTCAAATTTCATCATGCATTGGCAGAAATATCTGTCTTGGTCAAATATTGTTTGAAATGTTTGTATAGCACCCTACTATTCGTCCCATTAGCAGTGGTATATAACTGTATTGTGATGATCTCTCTTACAGTGTGCTATTATACCTGAGATGAATGGGATGCCTGTGCCCTCTGTCACAGTAAAGGTAAGAGCAGTGTCTATTAAATATACAGTTGAAGTCAAAATTATTAGCCCCCCTGAATTATTAGACCGCTTATTTATTTTTTCCTCAATTTCTGTTTAATGAAAATACATTTTTTTTCAACACGTTTCTAAACATAATAGTTTTAAGAACTCATTTCTAATAAGTGATTTCTTTTATCTTTACCATGATGACAGTAAATAGTATTTTACTAGATATTTTTCAACACACTTCTATACAGCTTAAAGTGACATTTAAAGGCTTAACTGGGTTAATTAGGGTAACTAGGCAGGTTAGGGTAATTAGGCAAGTTATTGTATAACAGTGGTTTGTTTTGTAGATTATCGAGAAAAAAATAATAATATTGAATATTGTCCCTAAAATGGTGTTTAAAAAATTAATAACTACTTTTATTTTAGCCGAAATGAAACAAATAAGACTTTCACCAGAAGAAAAAATATTTTGAAAGACATACTTTGAAAATTTCCTTGCTCTGTTAAACATCATTTGGAAAATATTTAAAAAAGAAGAAAAAAATTAGAAGGGGGCTAATAATTCTGACTTCAACTATATATATATATATATATATATATATATATATATATATATATATATATATATATATATATATATATATATATATATATATATATATATATATATATGTATGTATTTTGTGTAATAGAAGCTTGTAGTGCTTTATAATGCTGAGGTGATATGTCCTGAATATGTGATTTATTCTCAGGTTAAAATAAAGAGTCGAGCTGTGGTGCAGAACCCCAAAATGACGGTGTGTGTTCAGCCTCCTTTGGCTGTCACACAGGACCAGTTTGTGTTGGACTCTATGGGTATGACTGGCTTTCTTTTTTTGTCATACTGTAATCCTTAACGACATGTTATAATTTACCAAAAAACATGTGCTTTCTATTATTTTTTGACTCCTGGGTAATTCTAAACCATACGTTAAAATAATCATTAGTATTTTCCATGTTTCAAATATATGGTTTGGTAATAATTTCGGTTATTTCGATTTTATTAAGTTAATTAGTTAAAAAATGAGTAGCAAGTAATGTACAGTAAGTATTATCCACTGAAAAAGTAATGTAAGGTATTACTGTTAAAAGTGCTATTATTCAAAAGAAGGTAATGATTCGCACTCAATTGCTTCGTACTGTTTTTATTTTTACTTTTTCTTACATTTTACGGGTGATAACAGACAGACAGACGTTTAGGCACAAAGCCTTCCTCAGTGTGTGACATAATTCTTTAACTCCACCCTTTTATCCCATAGTCAATCACAATGTGCAATTAGTCCGTCACTCTCATTTCATTATCCATTAATCACACAATAACTTATAATCTTCACAGCAATAACAATAAACAATCTTCCCTCTACAAACCTCACTCTACAGAGATAAAGTGCATCAACTATTATCATTAATCAGGTGTACAACAATACAATAAAATTCTAACAGTTAACATTAAAAGTATTACTGTTAAAAGTGCAGTAGGTGATATGCAAAAATGCTAATCGGATAGCATATTGGCTTTGGACAGCAGGGAGGGATTGTGTTTCAAAGCCATGCCTCTTGAAATCACTAGCGCGCTCACCGCAATACGACAGCAGACAACCCAGTTCATTCGCCAGTTAGAAGTGTATGGAGTGGATGGCCTGGTGGCGTGCAGGAATTTCACTTATTGCTAAGCCACACTTACATGCTATTTCAGACTGAATATTCAGAGTAGCGGTAAACAACATCGGGAGTGCGTCACAGGCTGTCATTGTTCAAAGATGACCCAATGTGAATACAAAAGCAACTTTAGCTCAGCAAGCAGGCTAGGCGGAATAGCGTTATTTACTGATGTTTTGTTGTTAAACTGAATAACGTTATAAATCTACATCATCGCTGCTGTAAATGCTCCCTTATGAAACTAAAAACAGTCAAATCTAGCTTCCACTGTGAGGTTTCAGTGGCTGAACAACACGTCTGTGCGGAACCCATTCATAACACAATACACTCTACATTAGCTCTGTGTGACTAATATAGTTTTAAAACAGAACATTACCTCTCTAATAGAAATATTTCCTCCATGGTGTGATGTCTTCCTTCCTTTAGCATGCAAAAGTAACTCCAATACTGATTCAGGAGTTTAAAAAGTTTCAATTCAGCATTTGATTTTGCCGCAACTGACAGTCTTGCGTGCACGTGTCGTTCATCTAGAAGTGCACGTGCGGCAGACATGCACACGCTAATGGCGGATATACGTGAGTAGAGATGCGCAAAAGTCCAAATCTGCATTTGTTAACTGACAGTTTGAGTTACTTATCGGAATTTTGAGAGATGTCGGCCCGACTCTATTTAATTAGATGAACATTTTTTAGTTTTATGCCTTACCCAGAATATAAAATACATATAAATACATTCAGATCATTTACTTTAATCATTACTATTAGACTGTAAAGATACTTTCAACCAGCACAACAAAAAATGCTTCTGAATACAATCACCTACTGCACCTTTATCTTTTTAGGTAATGCTGTACTTTTCTCAAAGAAATAGTTCACACAAAAAATGAAAATTTGCTCACTGTTTACTCATCTTTCACTTGTTCCAAACCTTATAACCTTGTATTTCTTTCATCTGTTCAACGCAAAACAAGATGTTTTGTAAAAAGCTGGAAACCAGTAACCATTGACTTCCATAGTAGGAAAAAACAAACACTCAATGGTTAAGGTTTCCATTTTTCCTTAATCTTCTTTTGTGTTCAAAAAGACTCGAAATAGGTTTTTAACAAAGAAAATGATGACAGAATTTTCATATTTAGGTGAACTATCCCCTTAAATACTGCAAATAAATACAACAGTTTGCTATGAATCAATTTCAAGAGGCAGAGTAAAGCCTGGTTTATACTTCTGCGTCGAGTGACCGGCGTAACCCACGGCGCATGCAACGCGAGTAGCTGTGCATTTATACTTTTGCGCGCTGTCTCTGTTGGTCTGCATTAACACTTCCGAAACGCTAGTTGGCAGTGAGGTGTAAATGTTCCTCTGTGTCGAGTTTCCTCGCTGCTGTTTTGCTTTTCCTGAACACTTTCGGGATGTACAAGTGGTTCAAACTTGCTCATATTGAGGCAGGAACCGGCGGACGTGCAACAACTTTAACTATGAGGTAAACACAACACAAAACTTTCCATCCGGAGCTCTGTCACGGGACTCCACACTTGTAAACAATCGGTCCATTGGGCTAGCGCCGCTCGCGCGGCTCTCGGTTCCGCCCAAACTCGTCAGCGTTACCAAGCCGACCAATCACAGAGCTTGCGCTACGCGTTGTTGCGATGTGTAGTTACATTTTTTGAGAGGTGCACGTCAGTGACGCCGACGGCCACGGCAAAAGGCTATGCGTCAACGCCGTAGCATACGCCGGCGTTTGATGCAAAAGTATTAATCAGCCTTAATTGTGCTTTTTTTATACAAATATATTTTGTACAATAGTTCTGCTTTTAACCTAAAGATTCTAACATTTATCAAGACAATTTTGCATACGTAAACAATGATATCACAAATCACTGATAGTCAGAAATTAGTTCATGACAATATATGGTATAAATTCAGAGAAGAACAATAGTTTTTTTTAGGCTGTGTATGTGTGTTGTTGTTAATGGTAGCACCACATTATTTGAGCGCCTGTAGCATTTTTTAACAGCCATTGCAAGTTGAAAATCCCTGTCGGTGTCACTTTTGAGCTAGCCGTCTATTCACAGTGGAGGAGGGGAGGGACAATACCACAACTGTCAACAAATGATTTGCTTAAGACTTTCAACTTGTAACGGTACAGCGGGGGATACTCCGCATCTTAGCAGCCAATTAAAAAAATTAGTGTTTTTAGAACAGCGCTTGTGTTTCTGCATCACAATAACACTTCAGTGGACGCGCAGCCTTATTCCAAAATTTAGTCAGACAGTTGCGGATGGTTAAGGAATGATAAAGAACTGAGGAAGAAATAAGTTACAGACAATCGTATGGTATTTATAAAATATGGTGTCATTGCATTGAAACGCTTTCTTGTTATTATATATAGTGTTTAAAGATCTTTAAAAACTGTACTTTTACTACTTTAACCATCAAAGGCTACTAAACACAGGGTATATGCAGGGTCTTAAAAAGTCTTAAATTTTTAAGTTTTAAGCCTTAAAAACCCTTAAATCCACTGAAATATTCACTGTAAAAATTTAGGGTTCCATACAATCCTTTTATGTTGTCCCAACCAAGGCTGTGCGAATTGGGGAAAATATCTAAGTGCAGTTTTTGTGCATAATGCGATCGTGATTTGATTTGGGATTTAATTTTGTTGTCAAGATTCAGCTCAATAATCGGTATTGTAGCTTCTTACTGCTAAAATGCAGTGTGTGTTAGTTAAAAATAGAAACTGAAAAGATACTAAACTACTCCAACATTTATTCCGATTTGGGTCCCACTTTATATTGTGGCCCTAACTAATAAGTACTTACACAGGAATTAATAGTTTACTACAATGTACTTATTGTGTAAATACATGTATTTACCGTGTACTTATGCTCGATTAAATAGATGTACGTAATTACATCTGTAGTTAACTTTTGTAATTACATTTGTAAATACACTGTTGACCGTCCCTTACACCTTAACCCACCCTTAAACCTACCCATACCACCAAACCTGTTCATAACCCAACCTCTATCCCAACTCAAAAGCACCACAAGTGTTCCCAAATACATTATAAACACAGTAAGTACATTGTATTTATTTTTTTGATGCAAGTACATAGTAGTTAAGGACACTTAATATAAAGTGGGACCCAGATTTGTTTTTAAATATTCAGAAACTGAACTCATTTTTCTCTGGAGCACATAAAATGACCTTTCTGTAAACAAGTTCGACTCAAATTAGGGAGATGATGTATAAAATACAGAACACTCAGAAACTAACATGGACAATAAGAGGCAGTTCTGACTGGGCAGAATGAAAGTTTTCTCACTCTATTGGCTATCAAAGACTGGCACACACAGACGGCAGTCAGGCATTTGCTCTGGGCAGGGTAAATTAAATAATACATATATATTCTATATCCTTGCCTCTTCACAATGTTTTATACACGTTTGCATCATTTCACAATGACGCGAATACATTATTACATGGAGACAGAACACTATTCGGAGGTGTCCACCATGCTGAGCAATGTATGTAAAACAACGTGAAGGCTTGTGCGGCCGCCTTTGCTTCTCTCCTGCACTTAGAAATATGATTGGCAGAATCACAAAAATGCTGAATTAAGATCGCCTAGGGCAGGGGTGTCCAAACTCTGTCCTGGAGGGCCGGTGTCCTGCAGATTTTAGCTCCAACTTGCCTCAACACACCTGCAAGGACGTTTCTAGAGAGCCTAGTAAGAGCTTGATTAGCTAGCCTAGGTGTGTCTGATTGGGGTTGGAACTAAACTTTGCTGGACACCGGCCCTCCAGGACTGAGTTTGGACACCCCTGCCCTAGGGGGTTGAGTCAAGATCGTGATATTTTTACGATTAATCGTGCAGCTCTAATTATTACTGTAAGCATTTAGTTTTGAAAAAGTTTTGTTAAAAAAATGTATGTATTTAGGGTTTGTTTGTTTTGACATCTGTGGCTAATAAATTCCTAATTAAAATTAGTTTTTTGATGGGGAAAGTTCTTTTTCTGCTGGGGAATTTTAAAAAATCCTTCGCGGTAAGCGCTATGTAAGTCTGAAAGATTATTCTTTAAAAGTCCTAAATTTGACTTGGTAAAACCTGCAGAAACCCTGTAAGCAGTGACTTTGAAATGTAGGAAATTGTAGGTT